TTAGCTGCCAATGTATGACATAAAAGTGAGGGTTGCGTACCTTTCATGCATTGTCCCTGAAGTCCTGACTTTTTAGCTGAGTTACCCAAAGAGGTCCTTCTGCATCTTTGGCTCTGCCAGGGTCCACCTACTTGATAATGAACAAAGACCACTTCTCATATAGCATCACGCTTACAAACATAAAGGTGCCTGTATCTCCGAACTTTACAATCAAACGTGGGGTTTTTATTAGAGCAATGTGCTCGGCTTGGTCAACTGCACCTTGGGTGCCAGTTTCACGATCAAGGTGGCCAATCCCAGATTTCGCAATGTCGCCACCAGCCAAAGTGAAACGAGTCGACCTCTTGAAACTTTTTTCGACGACCAAAAAAATATTTTTTGGGCTAGTTGCGACATTGAACATGAAACTTGCACACAAGGTGCTGTTGGCCAAGCCGAGCCCATTGCTCTAATAAAAACCCCACGTTTCATTGTACAGTTTGGAGATACAGGCACCTTTATGTTTATGAGCGTCATGCTATATGACAAGTGGTCTTTGTTTAATGTAAAGTATCTAGACCCTGGAGAGCCAAAGATGCAGAGGGTCGTGTTTGTGCAATTAAGCCGGGAGGGCGGGACTTGACAAGAGTCAATCTTATTGGTGAAGATTGCATAATGTTTCCTGCCCCTATAGTAAGGTGTGCCTATGAAAGACCGTATGGAAACATGGTATAGTAGTTAACAAGCCAAAAATAATCAGTGCATCCGACAGTATTCGTGCGAAAGGGAGAGGAGGGACGGCATTGTTTGTCTCCAGAGATCGTACTCATTCAAGATTATACATACAAGACAGCGGCACATGCTGAAAGTTGTCAAAGTAAGCAAATGCATGTACTCGTTTCACGTTGTTTCAAAGCTCACTCTTTCCTAAACGTAATGACATAAGCTTTCAATAGATCAAACTTCTGTAACAAGCTCTATTGTTGGGTAACATTACTATGTGTTTATTATCTTTGAAAATACATGCGTCTATTTAAACTTGTGTACAATCCTGCGAATGGCCATTTCGTATCGTCCATCAGCATACGAGCAAGGAAGCTTTAACGAATGTAGTGTGGTGAAAGGAACAAAGGTGTATCGATGCAATGATGTATATCATCTAATCTCGTTTTCCAATCTTCATGGTTCTATCCTCCCTTCATTCCGGAAACCAATCAAGTGGGTCATATAGAATCAGTGGGTCATTGTGTCATTGTGTCATTGTATCCTTGGTTGCTGACACCATAAATATCTCCATCCATGTTGCAAACTAGTTGCTGTGCGTGCCTTGACTTCAATACCCAATATCATCGATGGCGACAGCCCACCTTTCCTCAAAGATATAAGCCCTCTCATCCTTGCCATCCAATCCATCATTATCCACAGACCCATCCACGTAACATGCTCCATCCTTCCTGATGGTGACGTGCCAAATAACCAAAACAACATCAGGTTCCACTATCACTGTGCTTGATTGCACCCATCCACCCATCCATCCATACCCATTGCAACTCCAACATGTTGGTACAAAGGACCCCTGTGGTCGCTTTCCCCTTTCCATCCGGCTGTTGGTCAATCTCTTTCTTGGTCATTTTCTATCGCAGCTCAACCAGATGAAGAATGCTTGTATTGGGCAATAGTAGTTGACGGTTGAAATGGCATCTTCCATAAAGGATCCGTATGTATTTAAGCAAGTTGCTACACGTAAATAAAGCTGCTTGTATATAGCTATGTGCTGTCCAGGCAACGAAGGCTGTGAGGCAAGTTGCTGCAAGTAAAGAACGCTGTTGGAGACAATGGAGTAAGGACCTTGCTAATAGCAATTGCTGCAATGAATGCTGTTACGATTGGTCGTGGTAGACGAGTGTACAAGAGAAGGTGCAATGTCAATGGAAGGCGTGTGTTGTAGTGAGGTGCACGAGCCATGGACATGCCATTCAGTTGACGACAATCGGATCAAGAGTGTTGTAGGATTGACATGATGGGTTGAAGCAGGACAATCGTTTGCAGGTGGTAGTTGTACTTGAATGGGGCAACAGCCGAGAATGTGAGAAAGAGACAAGGAGCTGGGGAGTAGAAGAGTTGAGAAATTAAAGCAGGTTGACCTGTCAGACGCTGCCCTACAAAACCATGAACACTGTAAAAGTTAAATCTTGATTATGGATTGCCCATCTCGATCGTGAAGCTTTCACACAATGTGTTATTGGACATGCTGATCACCTTTGTATTAATAAACGACTACACGCTCCATTACAAGAATTTTGAATGAGAAGGTGTAGATGTAGGAGAGACGACATACTATACTACGTAGGGTGCGTGATCAGTTCATATCTTCGCTTTTTTTATTGCTACTTTTATCATATCCCTTCTAGCACTGTACATCCCATTGTTGAAGTTAACTACTAAAGCAAACCAACGAGGTGATTAAGACAATGAGATGCAATCATTAAGTGACTTTGTTATCAAAAGGACTATCGCTGGAGTAGATTGTGTGGTTTGTTTGGGTCTGTGTCTTGAGTCATTTGCTGACATAATGTTTCAAGGTGATGTGATGATGCACGAGATGATGTGTAGTGCCATTGACAGCATATACTCTATACAGAGCATGTGCTGAATCAGTTGCTGTCAATGCACAATGCACACAACGTGGTGGTTGGGCGTGGGAGAAATGCCTGAGGCGGGAGATCCTGGGAAAAATCACAACATCGGGATGAGAGCTATCAACATTCTGTCATTGTTGCAAGGTAAAAATGGTATCTCGTTGGCTGGCAACCAGCAAGGCTTGTTGCTACCTTGACAACCGGTATCGCGTACATATAATAATGTGCTTGCATCTACATGTAATAAAGCATCAACGTATCCGAGGAATTGTTATGCAGCAGATGATGATGACAATGCAAATCGGCATATCCGAATGAAGAATTGTGATGCATTATGCTACCTCTGATTCCATGTCTGTGCATGAACAACATCTTTTTTGATCCACAAGTTGACATCCATGAGGCACAACACTCATCCCAAGGCTACTTTTAAAGAAGAATACCATAATCATTTCTACCCTAACAACGAATTGTTGACCATGAGAGACACATTAAACGTTCCGCGGATATCAAAGATCTCCGCGGGTGGTGATGGTGATTTATGCAGGAGCGTATCATGCGTGTTGATGGTTTTGACATTTCCTTTAGGTGATTACTATACACGTTTTGTGGTCGATGAGGTTCTAAATGTATTTACTTTTACGATCAACAACTTTCTTCATTGCTATCAGCAGATTTAAGAACCCTGTTCAGGAACGGGGACAAAGGGTCTAGGCTATACAATACGTAACACTATAGCATCAATGAAGGGATAGCAGCCCCTTCCTGTTTCGATACACAGGACAACTGGGTTACCTGTTCAGGGTGTTTCGATGCCCTGGGTCATGGTGTTTCGGGAGATGGCAGTAAAAACAAGCGGCAGCAGGTGCCCCTGCGCACAGTTTGAGAATGACGCTGCATTTGTGTTACACGCAATTCGAATTTTTTCCACGGTCGTAGCCAACAATCAAAGAGCGTGGACACATGGTTCCCAGAGGAGAGGAGTGAAATGTTGCAGGAGGATCGCGTCATTGGATTAACCTATACTGAATATAGCAATAATTGTCTTCCTTTCCTCTGCGCTGGTGTAATTGAGAGCGACTATTTCCCCACATTCTCGTGCATTAAGGCTCCACCTGAATATCGGCTAAAGGGTTCAGATGACAAAGCGCCGTGACTCATCAAGCTATTCATCATCGTTGGCCAATAGCTTACCCCACACATAAGTTTCGGTCATGGATTACATTTCAATGAAACATAGCACAGGAGTGAAAAAGACCCAATGTTTAAGCGCAGGGTCGGGCAAACAATTATGGTCCATAATAGGGGGGAGGTGGTCGCTGCATTCGATGCGAGGTTCTATTATCTTTTTCGGATGCACTTGAAATCTTAATTTCTCAGGCCACCTTTTGTGGCTATTGCTTATATCATAAATCACCCATTTGTTGCCAAGGGAAGAAAATCGTGATAATCAAAAGATGATCGTGCGAGGACAACATACGTATGCACAGAGTTATTCCGCGGGGTGTAATGTTGAGCGGGGACACACTTAAAAATAGGATTTGGGGCTTACAAGGGCGGCGGCTTGACAAATGATTCTCACGCTTCATCCAATCACACACGTTCCAGGCCTGTAGCCATCCAAACGAAGACCTGACTCATTGTCAGGGCGTATAAATAGGGCACCATGAACCCCCTTTTCTCTTATCACTTATTCCTTATCTCTAAATTACTCTCTCTTTTATCATGACCGGGTCTACACTTACACCACCCGCTGCCAATGGCGTTACTAACGGTATCGCCAAGAGCCACACCATTGAGAACGTGGATGGCTATAATGCCAACATCTTCCCTGGCAAGAATGAACAAATGGTGCAAGTCTGCCAATATTTGGAGAAGTCTGGTTTTATTCCTCAAGAGCTTGTGCAAAATGAAGTGTCATGGTTCTATGGGTAAAGTATTTGGGTGATGGTGGTGGTGGTGGATTTATGCATTGTGGGGGGAGCGGTCAACACCGACTCATACATCTCTTCCCGTTACAGCAACCTTGGTATCGATGATTTCTACTTTTCCTTGGAGTCCGTGGAGACCATTGCCAACCATATCATGTCCTTGTATGGCGCCAAGATCCTTGCCTATACCAAGCACGAGAACGTCCTTGCCGTCAACTTGGAGAAGGAATCCGAGGACTCATCGGTCTACATTCACTCATCCGAACCCGGTGTCTCTCAATTGCAAGGTCCTCAATTTGAAAAGAGGTATAGTACATGGGTGGGTGATGGGTTAGAGTCATACACGCGTTGCTTATGCATGTTTGCCGATATAGAATTGATGAGCAATACTTGGATCAATCAAGCCCTTCTCAAGCCTATCGTGTTGAGTCTTTCCGCTCCAATCCCACTGCTGGTACCACCATGACTCCCAAGTTGCGTTGCTACTTTGTGACCAAGTGCCAATTCGTCAACCCCAATCCCACTCCCGAACAAGAGACCGATATCACTCAAGTTGCCGATCAGAACTTTTTGAAGAAGGCCACTGATTTCACTCTCAAGATCTATGAGGATGTCATGCGTAACGTCTTGCAACGTACTGGTCCTGTCATTGAAATGTATGAAGTCAAGGGTACCCGTGAACGTCGCTTGGTTATCGGCTATCGTCAAGGAAGTGCTCAAGGCTTCTTCTCTGCCATGTCGGATTTGTATCACTACTATGACTTGTATTCGACTCGCAAGTATATCGGTAAGTATATTTATCAAGGAAAAGGGATGGATGAAACAGGTATCTAACATGAATTCATTATGCAGAGCAATTCTCCAATGGTGTCACAATCATGGGCTTGTACCTGAATCCTGTACCCAACACCAAGGCCATCCCTATCGAGCACTCCATTTACCAAGTCATGAAGGAAACCTCTTTGCTTTACTGCTTGCCAACCACTCCTTTGCAAGAATTCTTCAAGACCAACAAGTTGTCCGTTCAAGAAACTGTCTATGGCTATGTGTGCTGGATCTTTGCCCAACACTTTTTGAATCGTCTTGGCAAGGAGTATCTCAGCCTCACCACCTTGTTGGATAAATCCAATCCCATGCACGAAGAAGTTTTGACCACTATGAAGAAGCGTCTTCGTCAAGATACCTTTACTCGCGAGTACATCCTCGACATCATCAAGCGATACCCTGATCTTATCAAGTTGCTCTATGCCAACTTCGCCAGCGTGCACTATGTCAATCAACGTGAAGCTTCCATCAACCCTACCATCTCATACCAACGTTTGCGCACTGTTGAGATTTTGAGCCCTGAGGAACTTACCAAGAAGATCAAGACCACCACTTCCAATGCCCATGAACAAATGGTGTTTGAATCTTTCTTGTTGTTCAACAAGCATGTCCTCAAGACCAACTTTTATCAAACTACCAAGGTCGCTCTTTCTTTCCGCCTTGATCCCAGCTTCCTTCCTGAAATCGAATATCCCACCAAGTTGTATGGCATGTTTTTGGTTGTTGGTTCTGAATTCCGTGGTTTCCATTTGCGCTTCCGTGATGTTGCACGTGGTGGTATCCGTATCATTCGCTCTCGTAATCGCGAAGCCTATTCGATCAATCAACGCACTTTGTTTGATGAGAACTATGCATTGGCCAACACTCAACAACGCAAGAACAAGGATATCCCCGAAGGTGGTTCCAAGGGTACTATTCTTCTCGACATTTATCAACAAGACAAGGCAGCTGTTGCATTCCAAAAATACGTCGACTCTATTTTGGATTTATTGATTGTGGGCGAGACTATGGGTATCAAGGAACCCCTTGTCGACTTGACCGGCAAGCCTGAAATCTTGTTCTTTGGTCCTGACGAAGGTACAGCTGACTATATGGATTGGGCTTCTCAACATGCTCGTAAGCGCAATGCCAGCTTCTGGAAGGCCTTCACTACTGGCAAGAGCCAATCCCTTGGTGGTATCCCTCACGACACTTATGGTATGACCACAAGATCCGTACATCAATATGTCCTTGGTATCTACCGCCAACTTGGTTTGAATGAGGAGGATTGCACAAAGTTGCAAACTGGTGGTCCTGATGGTGATTTGGGTTCAAATGAAATCAAGATTTCCAAGGACAAGACCGTTGCTATTGTTGATGGATCGGGTGTGTTGCATGATCCTCAAGGTATCGATCGTGAGGAGCTCTCTCGTTTGGCCAATGCACGTCTTATGATCAACAACTTTGATATCTCCAAGTTGTCTGCCAATGGTTTCCGTGTCTTGGTTGATGAGACCAATGTTACTCTTCCTGATGGCACTGTTGTCGATAATGGCTTACAATTCCGCAACACCTTCCACACCAACGGCCTTGCTTCAGCCACTGTCTTTGTTCCTTGTGGTGGTCGCCCCGAGTCCGTCGACCTTGGCAACGTCAACAAGTTGATTGATTGTGGTGGTGCTCCTATGTTCAAGTACATTGTTGAAGGTGCCAACTTGTTCTTTACACAAGAAGCTCGTTTACGTCTTGAGCGTGCTGGTGTGGTGGTATTCAAGGATGCATCAGCTAACAAGGGTGGTGTAACATCATCTTCCCTCGAGGTGTTGGCTGCCTTGGCTTTCAACGACAGCGAATTCACTGAGCACATGTGTGTCAAGGATGGCCAAGTACCTGCATTCTACCAAGACTATGTCAAGGAAGTCCAGGAGATCATTGAACGTAATGCTGCCACTGAATTTGAAGCCTTATGGCGTGAACACAAGAAGTCTGGTGTCCCAATTTCCATTCTTTCGGATGATCTTTCTACCGCCATTGTTCAGCTCAACGAGCAACTCCAAAACACTGGTCTTTGGGAAAATGTCAACTTGCGTCACCAAGTCCTTCGCTCAGCATTCCCCAAGCTTCTCCTTGATAAGCTTGGTTTGGATACTCTTTTGGCTCGCGTCCCTGAGAGCTACGTCAAGGCTATCTTTGGTGCTTCTCTCGCTTCTCAATTTGTATACAAGTATGGTCCTCATCCTGATCACTTTGCCTTCTTTGAGTTCATGCGCGAGAACTACTACAGCCAGGACCAACAATAGACCTCTTTTTTCATGTGTATATTCATTTATCAGTCGTTGTTTCCATCCAAAGCATCCAATTAGCATTACCAACATTGAATAAAAAAACATCCCTCAGTACATCATCTTCTTTTACAACGTATACAAAGACTCTCAACTTTCATGTGCACTATATCCAAGTATTCAAAACGAAGCCAAATCACCCATTTCAATATCCCTGCTGATGCTTGGCACATTTAATGACCGATGGTGTTGATGTTGCATACATAACAAATGAATCAAAGCATGTTTCCAAGGAGAAGCTTCAAGTTGGTGACAATGCCGTCAATTACATGTACTATTGACGTGGTCCATTGAAGGGGGAAAAGAATCAACATGAAAAAGAGGGACAATGTAAAAAGGGGCGGATGATAGGAGATAGCGTGATATGGTTATCCAGTATTGGATGAGGAGAAAGAAGGAGATGATTTATAGGATAAGCGATATACCCTATTAGTAAAGAACACGTCTATCAGGCTGTAAAACATCATTAGCAAGTGGATCATTGCTGCCATGAAGCTAACTGCTTACCTTGATAACAACAGGCGGCTCTTGGGTATTGGGACGAGAAATCTCTGCTAGCTCTCGACCAGCCTATACAACATTCATCCAATAAGTCATTGTCCACATATGCCATTATCCTAAAGCAACTTACACTCCATGTACCGCCTTGGATTATTTGTGAAAGTGTGAGCGATTTCCTACTAGCGTTCAACGTATTTCGGACACGCTCGGCAACAATATCAAGATAGGCCACCGTGAGGGCACGCCACTCAACGACAACCGGGTCATTCAATTCAAACATTGGCACGACTTCCATTTTGGGCTGGCCAGGGAGAAGTGCATTTTTTCGATAATTCTCGATCCCTCGTTCAAGATCGATAGGCTTAAGAGTGAGGAAACCAGTGTCAATTAACAAACCACCTATTGAAAAAAGACCATGGTCAATCATTTCCTATCACGTGTTATGTATTATTGTATGCTTACCATTGCGTGCTTCTGGCAATACAGTAAGCTGTTCAGTGCCTTCAATGGTTGCTCCTAACAACTTCTCCATAGGTTCCACCAAGGAGTAGACCAGCCACTGCGACAAGCGATGGAATGCAACAAAATGATCATGTGGGTTGGAGACATTGGTGTTACGGATTGATTGACAAGGCCATACATCGCCAAGTTCGGATGTACCACCTTTGGCACTTTCATCAGCGGCAGCCCACAATTCACCCATATCTTGAACAATGGGCCATAACGTTTCGAGATGAATCAATGGGCCTTTTTTCGTATTGATTGTAGTAGGATGCGACATTAAATAATCTATAGGATCCCATGTTTAGTTGCTGATACACGTCAATGCCATTATCTTTTACGTACCCATCAGGTTGCCAGGGCGACGTAAGTTGATGCCGGCACCAAAGTAATCTTGACGGCTTTCGAGAAGCTGACCCAAATGGCGTAAGAGATCCACTCTATCCTTGAGTCCTTCAAGTACGGTTGCTTGCATGCCGTTGACCAATGTCTCAAGCGAGAAATCCAACAAGGCCTCAGCTATAGAGTAAAACACAAATCAGCACGGCTTTTTAGGCATACCAAATGATCACCCATATATACTTACAGTCAACTCGATGAGGCACACGTGGATCACTCGAAAAGGTACCAGCCAAAAACATCTCATAAACAGCGATGGCCACACCTTCGTGTTGTTTATATACACGACCGGAAGCTTGCTCACGGTAGGCATAACCAGCACCAAGATCGATATCCAACAAGACCGCCACCACAAAAAGATCAATAAGACGACGTGTTTGTTCCATCGGGTCGATGCCTGCCCAAGCCGATTGGATAAGCTGTTGCTGAATACGCGATTTGCCTCCAGCTTCAAAATGTCGCCAACGTCCAAATTGTGGGATTTGACTTGTGTCATCAAAATCTCGCTTCATCAATGATAACACAATGGTCACCATGTCATCCAACTTGGATGTGTCCACGTCAAAATGTTCCAACTTGTTGCGCATGGCTGCCTCCTGCACGCGGAAGCAGCGCTCACGCACCGAACGTAAGCTGCTCAAGTACTCGCTTTCTTGGTTGCTTGGTGCCATTATTGTGTGTGTGTTGTGTCCAAATTATAATGTATATGATAGGTAGGATGGGATGTTGGGGAAGAAATAAATAGTCATATACAAAAGTACAGGGTTATGGGTGTGGGTGTGTGTGGCTACGGATGTGAGTAGATAGCCAAGCGCAAGGTTTAGAGAAAAAAGTGCCACGCGCGCTACTCCCATCAATGTCAACCTTTTTATATCCACTGTCAATTGCATATAACCTTTGTTTATTGCCTTCAAAAAAAGCTTTCAAGAGGCAAGGAGGTATAGCCGGATATAGGTATTTGTGGTTGGGGGATCATGACTATTGGGCCTGATGTGTGTGTGTGTGTGTATAGTACACTCACACGCACATAGTAAGACGAGGAGGAGGAGGTGAAATGGCTCAAGTGACGAAAAAGCAACCACCCCCTTTAACCACCAACACAATAGGAGAGCACAAATGAAAATCATGGCCAGGCACATCATCTGCTGCTACACCAGGCCCTTGGCTCATCCCTTGAAAATACAAAGCGATGGCTCATTTACATGGATGTCGTCTCCTGTTACTCCCTGGTCTAACGCAATAGAGAAATGCCATCATGGACAACGATAACAACAATAACCCCTACATAACAAAGGTGAGTTTATACTTTCTTACTTTAATTCTGTATAATAAAGTATGGCTCTGAGTGTATGTACGTATCGGCGTGTGTGTGTGCGTGCTATCCATGCACCCTTTTTCGGGTTGCCAAAGGGCGCATGGATGAACCAGATTTATGGGTAGGCGTATAGCAAGAGGCTCATTGTCGCCCATGTCTTTTCTTAGCATATACAATATTTGAATGGACATCATATCATCGGTCGTTTCTTCTTTCCTTTCCCCTTTATGTTTTCCGCCCTCGATGTTTATTCTCCTTGTTGATATGCTTGTTTGGGAAAGCAAGACAGTGTTGCACTTTCCTTCATGAATATGGAGCATCATATGCCTCCGTAAAAGAAGCACTTATGAAATGATCACCGCCGAGATAAAGATGACTCGGGGGTCAAAACAACCAATATACGCAAATAAGCAAATGATGATCATTGGGGTGCAGAGTCATGATCATTTGGCAAGGAGATAAAGCTGTATGTTGCTGTTAATGATAATGTTCAAAGGTCCTTGACCACCGATAGGATGTATGCAACCAACATCGACAATTGATGCATGCGAGCTTATGCCCTTGAGATTACGAGAATGATACGGGATTCTTTGGCATCATCTTTTTTGAACCATGTATTAGGTACCCATCCTATCTCATCGATTGACAAGCAGTGCTAGGGAGTGCTCGAGGAGATGTATATACGTGTTTCCCCCCTTCTCAACCAACCCTATCCGATGACACACGCGCTCACGCATGTACCACCCAACCATCAACATCGGGCGGGCACTATTATATCCTGTCTTAGTCATGCATACCCAAACATGGAATGTGATGCTGTACAAATAACACTTTCATTCGCCCAGAATAACGTGTGCATGTCATATACTATACTACTACTACAAGAAAGGGAATAGAGGAGATAAACAGGGTAGGGGAATGTAAGGTGACAATAATGCAATGTGTGTGTGCATGTGTGCTTGTGCAATTTTTGTGTTGTTGTAAATCGTTTTTGGATCAGATGGTTACTTTGAGGCGCCTCAATGTCAGCTTCAATAATTCAACGGCCATGATATGTATCGTGAGTGATACGATCACCATGACCCATGATTGCCATCCAACATAGGTGAGTTCGAGCCAAGTTGATATGCCTAACGGATGATGATGGATTAGTATACGATCTGCAGGGATATGGATTTGATGATGATGCCTTGTGCTGAAGTTTCCATACATATGGAAGACCCAAAAGAAAATGCATATCCAACATACCAGGAGCATAGATCCCCAGGATCAAAAAGAAGAAGGAGATGAGGAAAGCTGCGACCATCCATCGATTGCTCAGCAATCCCGTTTTGAAGACTGAAAGATGCACACTTCGAGAGAGGAATGAATGCGTCAATTGAATCGTGGTGAGACAAGTAAATGCCTACATCAATAAAGCTTAGTAATGTTGCCACGTTCATAAATGTATCCACACTTACCAAGGATTGGGCTTCAGGAACAGGATAGTTGTATCGGTACAATGCAAGCACGTAGCTGCCAAGCGTAAGGGCGGCAATGAGCAAGGATTGGGATAGGATGACGATCCATACAGCAAGAGTAACCACACCCGTGTTAGGATCGCGTGGTGACCGTTTCATTAACGTTTTTTCACGTGGCTCCACACCAAGCGCCATAGCAGGTGGAATGTCGGCTATACATGGATGATGATGAGCAACAAGCAAGGATGGTAAAGAAAAGGAGTCATTGGGAGCGTACCTATAATATTGGCCCAAAGGATCATCATCACAGTAAATGGGGTTTCGATATTGGCAATTGAACAAGTAAGCATCAAAAAGATTTCAGACCCATTACAGCTGAGCAAGTAGACGATGAACTTTAGGATGTTGTCAAACACGTGCCGACCTTCCTCAACTGCTGATACAATCGTTGTAAAGTTGTCGTTCAATAAGACAAGATCAGCCGCCTGTTTGGTGATCTCGGTACCAGCTTGGCCCATTGCCACACCCACATCAGCTGACTTTATTGCAGGAGCATCTAAAAAGTACACACACACACACGAGGTTGATACATGAACGATCCACAGCTGTATATAGCTTACCATTCACACCATCGCCCGTCATAGCCACCAATTCTCCACGTTGCTGTAACGCTCGTACAATGGTCAACTTGTTGTCAGGACTCACTCTTGCAAAGACATTAGGAAACGGGTCAAGGGAAATGATCGCTTCTTCAGAAAGCAAGTCAAGCTCACGTCCCAGAATAGCTCTACTCTACATACGTTCCCAAATCCATGTTAGTGGGATTCCATATACAAAATAGATTCGATTTTACTTTACCATGCCAGGTGTATCACGCTTGAAGATGCCGAGTTGAGAAGCAATGGCAACAGCTGTTTCCACATGGTCACCCGTAATCATCATTACACGAATACCAGCTTGTTGGCATGTCTCCACTGATTCTTTAACGCCTTGTTTGGGAGGATCAATCAAGCCAATAAGACCCAAAAAGGTAAAGTCATTTTCACCAATCGATTCCAATTTCTCGTCATCCATGTCAGGTACACGCTTAAATGCTAGGCCAAGCACACGTAAACCTTGTGATGCCATCCGGGAACTTTCATCCGTGACTTTGGTGGCAAATGTATCATTCATCGGCTGCGTATGATTATCATGCTCTTCACTTGAAACGCCTTGATCGCTTGTGATAGCACCACCATCATCATCCAATGCATTGTTATTATTCTTGCTGCTGCTGCTGCTATTCTCGGTCATTGTGCTGGAGGAGCTGCTGGCAGTGTCATTTGTAAGAGCTGATGGAATAGGTGGTGGCGGTGGTAAGGGTGAAGATAAAGATGCCGATGCTGTAGTGGTGTTGGTGGGTGTAAGATACGTTGTGCATTTGCGTAATAGCTCTTCAGGAGCGCCCTTACAGAGCACGTATAATTGGCCTTTGTTGTCATTCTCGGTAGAGGGTCGGTAGATCGTGCTCATCAATTTGCGTTCGCTATCAAAAGCACGCTCAAACACCTTTTGCATGCCCTCGGTGGTTGTCCAATGATCACGTCCAAGATTGGCCTTTTGAGCAGCCACCGTTAATGCAACCTCGGTTGGATCACCCACTGTTGCCCAGTCGCCTTGATCATCACGTTTAACAGAGGCATTATTGCAAAGGGCTGATACCATAAAAGCGTGCCGTAAATGGGATGTATATGCGTTTGGCATGGTGCGATCAATGGGTCTTGTACGCATAGCAGCGTAATCAATAGCGTCATCTTGGTGCATTTGCTCATCAGCGTCAACTGCTGTACGTCGTACATGAATCATGCGTCGGCGTAATTCGGCAGGCTCAACTATGATATCTCCATGTGTGGGATCAAGCGATGTTGACTCTGTAAATCGATACAATGCGTCATCGGCTGTCCATAGCTCTGCTGCACCCATTTTGCCTTCCGTCAAAGTTCCCGTCTACAGCAGCACATGTTAATCCAGATGACAACACATGCAAGAAACCAAAGCTTACCTTATCGGAGCAAATAACAGTGACGCTACCAAGGGATTCTACAGCTGGAAGTGTACGAACAACACATTGCCTATCACAAACAAAGGTTTAGTGTGCATGAAATACAAACAAACAAATCAATAAAGAAAACTTACTTTGCTGCCATTCGGCGTACTCCTAATGCCATGGTTACTGTTGTGACAGCTACAAGGCCTTCAGGGATGACCGATACTGCAAGACTATGCACAGCATGTGAATGTCACATCATCAACAAGATATCCCACATGTAAATGTGCATTTACCTTAGGCCAATGTTGACGGTTGTACGAACATCATGCTTCCATGCAATCCCAATAACGACGACAAGTGCACAAAGGACAATGGCAATAAGCACGAGGATCTTTCCCAATTTATCAAGGCGTCGTTGAATGGGTGTCTTTTGTTTTCGCTTTGATCCTGCTTGGATGGCGGAACTAATTTTACCAATCTAGTCAAATGTTTGTGTTAATCTTTTTGAAAAAAGAAATCATCAAGGAGTTGATGGATTCAACAATCACGTTACCTCTGTTTGCTCCCCTGTACGCACAACGATGCCTCTACCACGTCCACGAGCTACAGTAGTCGACATGAATGCATTGCCGAGACAATCGCCGAGAGGAATGCGTCGCGACTAGTATGACGTACAGATTTTTAGTCAAGGGGTAGAAAACAAGGGGGGATAGATGGTAGTAGTAATATCTTACCTTTGCCTTGATTGCATCTGTTTTCTTTAACACCGGTAAACTTTCACCAGTAAGGATGCTTTCCACCAATTCTAATTGGGCAACATCGATCAACCGGATATCAGCAGGCACTGCATCGCCCTCATCTAAGACTGCCAAGTCACCAGGAACAAGGTCTTCCGAATCCACCATGATTTGCTCTCCATCACGAATGACTTGAGCCTTTGTTTTTGTGATTTCATTGTGATTAGCACACGCACAATGAATCAAATCATTGGGTCTTGCACATTTACCTGTGGCACAGTGAGATCCATCAATGCGCTGAGAGTTTTACTTGCTTTCCATTCTTGGGTAAATCCAATCACTGTATTGAGCACCACGACAATCAAAAGAACCGCCATGCTGTTGAATTCTTGTTGACCAGCTTCCACAACAGCCGCTGCAAGTAGTAATAGCACCATAAAATCGGTAATTTGGGTCCAGAGCATCTTTAATGCACTTGGTCGCGGAGGATCGGGAAGCTTATTGGTGCCATATTGTTCTCGTAATGCAGGCACAAGAGCACTTGGTAGACCATGTTCAGGGTGCGTATGTGGGAACATGTTCAATAGCTTCTCAACCGATCGATCAAAGTATAAAGCAGGAGGCGGTGGAAGCAATACGGTGTTGTCGGAAGAAGGTACCACCACACCACCACGAGGCATCTTTGTCGTCGTCTTTTGCTTGGCGATATCACTGGCTAATGAAGAACCAAGCAATTTTTCCATATCATCTTGTTCCCCTTCCTTGATAAGATCACGCCAATCATCGATGTGTCGAGGAAAAAACTCGGTCAGGAGCTGTACGATAGCAATGGCACCCTGCTTTTGTTCATCCGTGCAATAAGGTTGACACCGATAATGGATCTTGAGATGGTTTTTGAGCTCATACACATCCTTTTCTCCAACCACAGCACGAAACTCGGCAACTGGATAAAAGAAAGAGAACGTAAGTGCCACATTTCCCATACCCTGGTACACCAATACAGAAAAAGGAAAAAAGTGATCGATTATGGTGCACACAGACACACACTAAACTTGCCTTCTTCTAGGAAATCACCAAAGAGAAAAAAGGCCATATCGGCAGCATGTGTGGAACGTTTACGTAGCAAATGACCCTCCGTATGTCCAGCGTTGAGCAAGAGCGCCTCACAGAGTCGTCGCATCAGCTTAATATCGAGGTGTGGTTGACATCCACCCTGAATGCGGAAATGCATCACGTAACATAGCCCTTCGAGTACTTCTTCGAGAGAGATGCTTTTGTTTTCCTTGACATCGAAAAGGTCGTGCACTAAATTAACGTGTTAAAAGAGCCAATTGGGGATAAAAGATAATAAATGCAACATGTATTTACCATGGATCTCGATTTGCTGCTCCACTGAAGCCTTGCCGTCGTTGATAGGGATGTCGATAACAGCATGCTGCGGACTATGGCTGTCGTCCGATTGTGGATGTTTTGACATTTAGGTGTCGATCCAAAGTGAGGAGAGACAAGAGAAGAAAAGGGAAAAAGACAAGCAAGGGAGAATGCTACCAATCGCTTTTATGCACGGCTATCACCCACTACGGCTGTGTGTATCCCCGATCCATGCTAATGTTGTTGGAAAAGAAAGGATATGAGAGGATGCTTCGCATAAAAGGAAACCCACACGACCTCGCCTTGCTGCATTCGACATGTGCAGAGCAAACCATGCAGCTTTGTTGTTTTTCTGTTTTGGCCCACGATACAAGGTTTGGGTCTGCTCCATCATCATCATCAATGACGCATAGATACAACAATGGTGCACAATCGTGTGATGGCGGCGGGGATATCGAATCCAACAATGAAAATGGGATGTGTCTGGGGATTGTGTGTGTGTGCAAGATCGTACATGGCATGTGTGTATACAAACATTTCCACATTGATGATGTTCAGGGTTCTTTGGTGAGAGAGAATGGGAATACAACACAAATGGATGAAAGATGATGGCGTAGAATGGAGTCGCATCGATCAACGAATGAAAAAAGAGAAGCTGTATAACAAAACTGCATCATCTACACATCATGCTTAGTGGCGTGTAGAATAACATGCAGTAACACACTTACGACATATACACACGTTTCTCCCGTTCACTTCAGCTGACTAAGAGGCTGATTTTGTATAACCATTCAGTTGACCCTGATATGAAGAGTGGTTTGATTGGATGATATGAGCCCAATGTCATGCAAAATGGCACATCATTTCCATAACTTACGGATAGCTGTAATCGACCATGTACGTAATGCCGATCAATTTTAGCGCTGCATTTGTTGGCGTGTCATCCGAATAGCTGCTGCATAAAGTGTTGAAGCATATATGGCGCTGTGCGTGGCACGTAATATCATTCTGTAAAATGAGCGCTGTTTGTTGTGGAGAAGAAGGAGTAATAACACCACCTGACATGTGAGCATGGTCCCTGATTTGTACAAGTAAACGACATCCATCAAAGTTGGCAGAGCCAAAATGCACAAAGCCACCGCTGAATACGCTGATCCCGCCATCCACATGCAAAGTATCGAGCAGTTGTCCAGAAATAAATCCTGTGTGTTGCATGCATACACAAACACAAACACCCCTTTCAAAGTTGCCGAAATGACTGATGAATGATATGCCGGTTTCACGATCTTGTATTTTTTTGGTTGGTGTTTTATTGCTGCTGTAATAATAATGTGAAGATTCTAAAGTTGAGACATGCTTCCCAACAAAGCCTGTGTCCGCATAATCTACAAATGACCATTGTTGTGTGAATGGATGGATATCCATCACTCTCTATCCCATCTCTTTTGCTTACCTCAAGAGCCTGCTTAATTTCCAAATGTCGACGAGCAGCATCCAACCAATCAGCAGCCAAATGCTTGGGCCATCCCTTGAGCTGATTCACTTCACGAGTTGCACTTTCAAGATCATTCTCACGTTCAAGATAGTATTCAGCACGAGCCATACGCGATTCGAGATCATCACCAGGAACCAAGCCTTGCTTCTTGAACATCAACTTGCTCATAATGATAGAAATGATATGGGAGATCATGCTGCTACCCTCCTCAGGTATAAGCGAAGCGTGACGCACTTCAGCTGCTACATTGGCGAATCGTTCCTCAAGTTGTGCCTTTGAATCAATGCCATGTCGTGCTACGGTTTCAGAGATGCTACGTGCAACAACTTGAACAAGTTCATCGTTACGTCGTTCCACAAGATCGGCAAAAGGTGATGCGGGTGCACTGATCACGAGCAAAGTCTGTAACTCATCCAAGAAAGCTTGTTGATTTCCAGCATAGGCAGCACGCTTAAGAGCATCCACAGCAGCCACGAGTTGATGAGCCTTGCGTGAATCATCCAAATCCTCCGCATTTTGATAAGAGAGTTGCTCAAGCAAACGTTGACGTACAGCTACTTCATCGACACGAGCCAATTTGCCGCCACGTTCAGTCTCAACCTTTTGACGCACTTGACGCATGAATTGACGATTGAGTTCCACAGCACGTTCTTCAAGTTCCTTGGCCATAGCCACCTTGAATTCTTCATGTTGGGTGTTCAATTGCTTAATAGCAAGGGCCTGATACTCCTTCTTGATCTCTTCAGCCTCGATAGCAAATTCACGTCTGATCTTGTCCTTCTTCTCTTGAACACGGTCAATGGATCGCTCACGTGCAGCAAGAACCTTGGCATCCATCTCTTCCAAATGCTTTTCAACGTGTGTGGCAAGAGCACCTGATTCATTGACAAGTTCCTTGATATCCTTGAGAACACGATCCTCATCGTTGCACACCTTGCGATATTCACGATACAATTGCTCGACTTCATGTGATCCATAATCAGCTAAGCGTTTGGCGTGACCCTTGAGACCGATTTCATTCAACATCTTGACCAAGGTTTGAATAGTCGCAGCCAATTCATCCAACTTGGGTTCACCAACAGGTTTGAATTGAGGTACAGGAGCATCCTGGTCTGTTTCAATCACGTTGGAAAAGATGGCACCACGTCGGCTGAATTTACGTCGCTTTGTCGTCGTAGCAGGAATGCTGCCATCGGATGATGGGATCTTTGGTGCGTCCTTGTCACCCGTGAATTGAGCATAAGCATCTTGAGCATACTCGTAGAGATCAGCAGCGGTATCCTTGGCCTTCATAGCGTAACCTTGCACTTGTCCAGCAGCAGAAACGGCAGTGTTCTTCCATTCAGTGGCAGCATCCAAGTTCTTTTTAAACTCGGCATCGTGCATGGCGTCTTCTATAGCGTCCAATACTTGCTCACCGCCTGGTACATAGGTCGTGTATGTGTCATAAAACGCCTCATTGTGTAATGCTGCATAGGTTGCTCCACCGTACAATGTAACACCCAATGCTGTTGTCCAGAAAAGCTTTTTGCCGAAAGAACTCTTCTTCACGGTGCTGGTTGTGCTGGTGCTGGTCGTGCCATTGGTTGCTTCAGTTGCATAGTATCGCGACACCTGTATACAAAGAACCGTGAGATTGAGTAATCACAACGACAAGGAACCCACCCATTTACCTGATGGAAGCGTGCACCAGGGGCTGCTCGGGTACCTGCCCTTGCCAATGCGGAGGCACCTTTCAGCATGTTGGATATATAGAGTGACAAGAGGTCAGCAAGCAAAAATCTGGCTTAAAAAACAAAACAGCGCATGCAAGGGTTGACTGGCAATGATAGCTTCCACGCCTAGAAATCCTTGTAATCCTCTAAATCGTTCTAGCCGTACATGATCCCAACATAGAAGCTCTTACACATTATTGATCCATAGTCAAATAAAAGTGTATAGAATACAAATATTCAAATCGGTTGGGTATCCACTGACACTATTACTATTCATGCGCCTTCATTACGATCAAAATGTTCCTAAGACAATGAAAGCACCTTTTGATGACCCTATGTTACGAGTAAATGATCCATAACCTTCTATAGAGTTTAATTTGGTTCATCCCTTCCTCTACAACCTGCAAGCTTTATATCATTCATGTCTCCATAATCGAGTATGTCATTCATCATAATCATTTGGATTAGTCGTGGACACCTCTATGAAAGAGAAACAGCTCAAGTTGGGACCTTGACAACCATTGTACTTTTTGGGAACATGGTCGTTGCCATGACCACCACTATGAACATCCATATACAACTTTTTCGTGATCCCTTGCAAACATGAATCATTTATTATGGTATGTATGTGTACGAGCTAACTGATATGGTTGGACGATCTTGGCAACGCATCGTGTAATCATGCAATCCTAGCGACTATCACCGCTGTGTATCATTAAATGAATGATCTATTTCCATGACGACAATGAAACTTTTGGATGATCGACAAACAAGGGATGGCAGATGAGTTGGTTGTAATAGTTCGGATCTTGCTACAATTTTATCAGTTTCCAGTCACCTTGTTCTCTCCTTTATCAACGACGACCACCACAACGACGACAACGCATCCGCCATGTCCATGAAAAAGCTACAGAGTGAGTAGCCCACACCCATTTCTATTTGCCGTCCACGTCCACCAACTCCTTCAACACGCGCATAAAACATACACGCGCTTCGCACATGAGATACTATTCGTCTTTTTCACTCGCTTGCAACAATGCACTTACCTTGTCCATTTCAATCTAGCCGAGATTGACCGAGTGTTGAAGAAAGTGAGCGAAGGTGTCGAGATCTTTGAGACCATCTTTGACAAGATACATTCGACAAACAACATGAACCAGAAAGAGAAATACGAGCAGGACTTGAAAAAGGAGATTAAGAAGCTGCAGCGACTACGTGATCAGATCAAGACGTGGCTATCGTCGAATGAAATCAAGGACAAGAGTGCGTTGTTGGAGAATCGCAAGCTTATCGAGTTGCAAATGGAGCGGTTCAAGACCATAGAGAAGGAAATGAAGACCAAGGCGTATTCCAAAGAGGGTCTCATGCTTAAAGAGAAGATGGATCCAAAGGAGAAGGAGAAGATGGATGTTTGCGAATGGATCACCACCACCAAGACCGAGATAGAACGACAAATGGAAGCAGCAGAGGCAGAGATTGAGACATTACAAGGCACATCCAAACGCGGCAAGAAAGATCACAGTCGACAGGAGCGTATCAGTGAGCTTGAACACCATTTCGAACGCAACAAGTATCATCTCGGCCGGTTAGAACTCATCCTCCGATTACTGGAAAACGATCATTTGCAAGTGGACAAGGTATGCCGTTTGAGACTTTGCAACTTCATTTCTACCTTACTCACACGCATCATATGATAGGTTGCTGCTATCAAAGATGATGTACAATACTATGTTGAAAGCAATCAGGTATATACACTGCATTGGTTATCCATCAGCTGTCCTTGTCGCTTATATTCGAATGAATCAGGATCCTGATTTTGAGGAAGACGAGTATATGTATGACGATTTAAATCTGGAAGACGACGAGGTGCTATACAATATTGCAACAGATGAATACTTTGCACATAACGAGAGTGAGTGTGATTCATCCTATCCAATTCCTCCGCTGAAAGATGGCTGACATGATCATCGATGTAGGCAAACCAGAACCTAAGGAAGAAGATGACAAGCCGCACTCCAAACGAGCCGCACGAGAAAAGGAACGACAGGAGAGGGTGAAGGAAAAGGAACGAGAAAAGGAGAGAGAGAAGGAAAAAGAGGAAGAGGTAAGTGCTTCTAGCAAATGGCTATTAGCATTGGTTAACATGGTTTCTCGTTAAAGGCTACACCACAAAAGATCTTGAGTCCCAAGTCAAGTAAGATATATATACGTGCTCTTTTCTTTGACGAATGATGTTGGTCTAACATAAGCTATAGAAGATCCACTTACACCTTCATTGGAAGAGCCCAAATGTAAGCATTCAATGATTCTCTTGGTGGGATGTTGTTACTAAAATGGAAATTCATGCAGCAAAATCCAATGGCACGAGCCCTCTAAGGACACCCAGCTCAACCAAATCGACACCAGAAGTAATAGCACCCACAACAACAGGGCTCAAGTATGCACAAGCAGCGGCAGCAGGTGTTTCTACATCAAGTTCCCATGATAGTCTATCAAAGAAGCAAGATAAGATACCAGGTGCAAACGACAAACCGGTGGAGAATGCATGGACAAAGCCCCCAGAGATCATTGATCAAGCCAAGGAAGATAAACAACGACAACAACATGTGATACAGCAACCTGGTGCTGCATTGTTATCCTCACAGTATCCAGCCAAGGTACGTTTACTGGTATTTGGATCATTGTCATTGAATAGATGTTTACTTTTATCCCTTTTATTAGTCACCTGACGCCTCCAGTGTACCACCGGATATGAGTGAAGCACGTTTACCATCATCACTAGCGGATCTTGCACCAGCATTTGAAGCTGTCAAAGCTAAAGGTAAGCCCAGCAGAGTGAAAATGTGATATGATCCATGAGAGCAAAGGATTTAATAATGCTATAGGTATAGGCAAGGCTGATATGATGTATACACACCAAATGCTGGATACAAGTTTACAGCATGTACCTGATCTCATTGACTCTGAACGGTAAGCACATGCACGCACGTGCCACGTGGGGATGGTAGATCAAACCTAATCCATTGTTGCATTTATAGGCCAAAGACATACCAACCTGCCAATCCTTATCCCACGCCCAACTATTATCCACAACAACCATTGGCCGTCTTTGATAATCCTGTGTTATTCGATAAATTCGATATGGATGCGTTGTTTTTCATCTTTTATTACCAGCAAGGAACCTATCAGCAGTAAGTGTTCTTGTATGCGCTTCTCTTTCGGATGAATCAAAGGCTCACTATGATATCCCAGATACCTTGCTGCAAGGGAATTGAAAAAGCAATCATGGCGATTCCATAAAAAGTATTTGACCTGGTTCCAACGTCATGAAGAGCCCAAAGTGATTACCGATGACTATGAGCAAGGCACCTATATTTATTTTGATTACGAGGGTTCATGGTGCCAACGAAAAAAGACTGATTTCCGGTAAGCTCAATCACACAATCTTGCCTAATAACAATGATGGCTGATTCCCTCTTCCTTTGATATAGGTTCGAATACCGATACCTGGAAGAGGCATAACGCTTTTGTTATTATCACCCCACCGCTACTCCTAGATACATACTTACGTCCTCCCCCCATCTCATCCTATCATCACCTATCCCGACAACATCTTGGTTTCTTTTTTTGTTCCTAACATGATATTCTTTATAATCATCAATTCTATGACCTTGGATATGGGCCGTGTGAGAAAAGTGATTGCGATTACATGTAGCTTCAAAGCTTATTGATGAGACATCCAAATGGAATCGCCTATGTAATAAACTCGAGCAGGCAATATTGATTGATCAACCCATTGCATTGAGTGTTGTATGAATACGAATAAAGAGTCAACCACAGTAAATGAATGAATGGCATTTATTAGAAAGAAGGGTCTATATAGTTGCCATGTTGTGAGCAAGTGAATCATCCTGTCAAAATGTCTACAAGTTGGTTTTGGGGGGTAGTCCAAATCCTGTTCTGAGTGGTGGTTGTAGTTGTGGCTCGTGACGGTGTTGCCCTGGCAATCGGCACAAACAATATTTTTCGCTTCTTTTGCTTGGTTCCTTGCTCCAATACATACACACAACACCGCCATGGTATGCAATGCCATTTCTCGACCCACGATGACCTAGTTCTCACTGTATTCGTATCATGCATGATATAGCTTCGCTTCTCCTCTACCTTGTTGACACGCTCTTCTGCTGCCGCCCGCCAATCCGTTCGGTACGTTTGACAGCCCCAATGCCACATTTGCAAATATGCTCATGCGTTGTTATAGTGTTGCTCCTGCTATTGCACAACGTTTCTATGCCACCGAACCTCTTCCTACACCTGGTTCCAGCAGCGGTGCCTCCGTCGATCCCAAAATCGCCAGCATTGTTGATCAGATCGAGACCCTTACTCTTTTGCAGACCTCCGAGCTTGTGTCCCAACTCAAGGTATATACAACACGCACGATACGATAGATTGGAACGACTTACATGGATATGTGTATTAGACTCGTTTGAACATTGAGGATATTGCTATGCCTATGGCTATGCCTATGGGTGGTGCCATGCCTGCTGCTGCTGCTCCCGCTGAAGAGGAAAAGCCTGCTGAGAAGACTGAATTCAACGTCAAGCTTGAAAAGATCGATGCTAGTGCAAAGGCTAAGGTTATTCGTGAAGTCAAGAACTTGGCTGGTTTAAGTTTAGTGGATGCCAAAAAGTTTGTCGAAAGCGTGCCAAAGGTCCTCAAGGAATCTGTACCAAAGGAAGAAGCCGAGAAGCTCAAAAAGACCCTCGAAGCTTTGGGTGCTACTGTTCAGTTGGAGTAAAAAAAAAGTTGTTTTATTTGTAATAGAACCGATTCATTTCATGTGCATAAAAAAGAGAAAACACATATATATTCAGTAATGGGTTTATTTGTTGCAAAGAGAGAAGGATAGAGAGAAGAGAAAGAGAGAGAGAGAGATGATGTCTTTTCCTTGTACATAAAGGTTGTCGTTTCGTTGAAAGGGAATCTTCAAAAGTAGAGGATCGCTGTCGGATGGTATAGTTTCATTCTTTTCGTTTACCAATCTTTCTTGATATCAAAGGACCAGTTCCACTCAACATGGACGACACCATCATCGTCAACGAATTTGCTCTACATTAGCGATGTGGATGATTAACCAAAAATGCACTCTTACTTATCCATCATCTATACTTACTCTGGCGTCATAATGACCACGAGCAAGCATACCCGAGGGTGCTTCTTCAAGTTGGAACTTCTTTTCATAGGGTTCAGCAGCAGGACCATAGCTACCAATCATTTCCTCGGTCTTGTCAACTAACCATTGACACTATGATTAGCTTGATTGCCAAAGCTTTCAGAATTATCATCCAACTAACCTCTTACGCCCTTACGCTTGACAACTTGCAAGTACTTGAGACCTGAGACAACATCGTGTTGAACGCTGATAACAAAAATTGACAATGTCAATATCCACCACTACCAACACAAACATCTCATTTTACTAACCGGAATTTAACCTTCATACGGTACTCAACACCCTCCTTGATGGTGAAGGGAGTCGATTTGGCCTTCTCAATAGCATCTATAGGAATGCTACTTAATCACGCGCGCCTTTTGTATCATCTCTTTCTCTATCCTTACCAGGTGTGGACAAGTCGATCTTTACATCATCACGATCTTGAACTTCAAGTGCAATGTATTCAACAACAACCTAAATGATATACATGAGTTGTGGGGATGAAAAAGGGGTTGCGTTGTGTACGTGTATGGTGTGGTGGTGAAAGAGATGTACTTACTCGACGAGGATCATCGGTAGGACCAGCAACTAAGATACATAACTAAGTACATGGATCTCTTCTATATGCACTGGATGCTCTTTTTTCTTTTGTTACCTGCACCCTTCAAACCCAAGGATTCTTTCCACTTGTTCAAAGACTCGTCTTGGGCGTCGAGAGTTTGATATTCCTGCAAGCTTTTCTTTTCACCGGGCTTGTAACCAGCAGTTTGAGTGGGAGCAAGGTCGTCGTCTTCGTGATGAGTAGACATGATGTGCGTGTGTGTGAGTGTGTGTGAGTGTCAGATGATGCTGAGAGGGAATCGGGCAACGATGGAATAAGATGGAAAAGAAGTCGAGAAAGGTACTCACCCCCGGGGGGTCGCGAGAGAGAATCAATGTGCGCGTATTGGATGGTCCCCTTCATTCACCCACCCACACACCCCCAGTTGCTTCGGAGCACACTATTACTGCTTCATTCACCAGTTACCCTATGATGACACCTCTATCACCATGACACCCTGCCAACTTACTCTTGAATCACATTTACATATTATCGAGCGAAGAATAAATGATTTTACCACTTGTCCATGTATATCCATTGGGGCGTGAGAGTAAATTGCGCTGCGAGATTCCTCCGCCACCAGTAGTAGAACACGTGCAATTGTCGTTGCTCTGGTTACAGGCGTTGCTATGCAACAACAAAATAAATAAACATTCGTATCATGTGCAGTGCCTATACGCATGTCGTAGCCTCTAATCTTCGTCCGTGCCAAATACGATTGAGTAGGTGCATAATGAAGATGACATGTTTGTGTGCTAGCCCGTTAACAATGACCCTCTATGCGTTCTGAGCTTGTTTCTCTTGCATAATATGCTGTACTTTGGTCATGTGACTAATAATTTGGATTCGGCTGAAATGGATGACATATAAAAACCACCCACAGCACATGTCAGCTGTAGTCCACAGGTGGCAAGAAATGAGGCACGCTTTAAACTTGCGTTTTGAAAGATGGAGGAAAGAAGTGGGTGGGTGTAATGAAGCATGATGATAGGCGACATGATCCTTTGTGGACAGACTTTCTCACGCACCAACCTCTGAGAGCCAATGTGTGATGATTGTCAATGCATACACCAGCAACAATCAGTAACCAAGAGCTATTTGATATTGTTGGCGACATGATGATGCGCCATCTAGCTCCCACGGGGGTTGATACAACAATGGCTCTTCCATTATATCACATGTATGGCACAGACACCTGTCACCTCGTTGTCACCTGTCAATGCCTTGTCACTGTCACATTGGTGTTGTGTCCCATTTCCATATTCTCACAAGTATGTATCAGTGCCTGTTATCATGACGACCCTAATCTTTACCTGTGCGGACCATGCACGAGATGATAGGCATCATTGCTACCAAATTGTTATAACGGCACGATGCACCATCTATCACGAGGAGGAGGATCTTTTATTAGGTTGTTTGCTCCTGCTCATAGCACCTGCTTTAAGAACCATGATAATGGTAAAAGCAGGCGCTCTTGATGCATGATATTAAGGGGTTGATGATGAAACAAGCCAAGGATCCAAATCAGAATTCAGCTTTTGGTGAACGCGGTAACGTCTGTGTAACATCATTTGCTGTTGGCTGCAGCATCTTTGAGAGGCGGTGATGATGTAACGTTAATTGAGATGAGAGTGCCCAAACACCCCAACTCCGTCTAATTGTCGCTGATGGCTTCCTTCGATACACCCTTGATTGATGGATGTAAAAAAAGCCAAGATCTTGTAGGATGCGTCGGCTATCAATTACCCGATTACATGTGCCAATGTGGATAATCATGGTTTCATCAGCAAGGGATGATCGATGATGTTGAGCTTATATTTCCATGCATTGTTTCTTTCAAAGGGGTGGATCTTGTCCAAAAAAGCTTATTGTGCCTTTCGTTGTGTCACATCATGAAAAAAGTCCGCAAAGTTCTCGCACTCTTCCACCCTCTCCTTGTGCTTTGCAGTTTTTTTTCGCCTGAAATTCCCAAGGGACACAGCGGCCATTGATAGATTCATCTCCTGTCGTTAGAATAATCATCCAATGCTTTGAGATATTAGGAGACGAGATGCTGAGCAAGAACAAGTTGAGCGCAAAAGTAAAAAAGGCGCTGTTGATGGATATCGACGTATGTACGTGCTTCGTTATTCCAGCAGCAGCTGCGAGTAATATTAGGGATTGGGGGACAATGGGGCATAAATCATCCCGACGCACCAATCCAAGTCGTGGGGATACTCTATTATCGATGTTGCCATGTAACAAAAGCGTGAGTACAAAGACCAAAGGCAACGATTTTTTGGGTAGTGAGTAACGGTGGTAGTACCAATGGAAGAAATGTGTGTGGCATGTGCGATGGCAGGCGTCAGCAATAGCTCTGTGCGTGTGTGTATGCGTGTTGGGGAGAAACGAACAATGCAAACAATCGAGACACCGTGCACGACCAAGCTTTTGCTGACTGACCATGAATAGGTGAGAAAAGGAAAAAGAGGGTCTATCAACCCCCATTTAAGTAATCATAAATAGCCACAGTTATTATGTGTGAGCCTCTTGCTTTTAAGCCTTCCACCTTCTCGCCTCTTGTAGAACGGGCCCTCTTCTTTCATTGCTCCGTCGTGTCACCTTGTATTTTTTCTTGGACGCACAAGAAGGCACAAACAGCTTTATCCAATCCTTTCTTTCTTTTTCTCCGTTCCGTACATAATATAAACAAGATGGATGAGATTGATCACACACTTGGCCGAATGCATTTAAACAGCAATAGTAGCAGCAACAACAGCACAACATCGTCAGAGCCACTTGCACCAAGTCCTCGTGAATGTCTTATCCAAGCCATTAGCAAGGTTAACGATGATTCCCTTCGTCAACAACTCAAAGTCGACTTGAATCGGCTTCTCACAGACCATGATCGTTTGGTGACCATGGTCCAACAACATACGCAAACGCTCGAAATTGAAAATGATCAACTCAAAGGTTCTCTCCGAGATCAACAACAGCGATATGAAAAGGCGGTGCGAGAAATGCAATTTTTCAAGAAAAGATTCGACGCTTTAAGCAAGGCACAACAACAACAACAACAACGTCAATCCATGAGCTCTGATTCACCAAGCGAGGTTTCATCAAGTGGAGGTAGTCATAGCCAAGGACAGCTTCCACCACCACCAGCTCCATTAATAAATGGAACATCAACTGCTGCTGCACCACCTCCACCTCCACCTCCCAATGCACCCTTACCAGCACCACCTCCACCACCATCATCTACAGGCGTTAATTTCCCCTTGACACCTACAAGTCCGCAGCCATCAATGTCGATTCATTCCGCCGACCATAATCCACCCCTTCTTCGGCCATCACGATCTTCCTCATCATCCAATACTTCATCTCATTTGCAACATTACCAAGCCTATTGGAACACGAGCAGCAATACGCCACTATCGGGTGCATCATTTACTTCCTCATCTTCGAGCGGATCAATACGCCATCATCATCACCAACCACCGCCTTTGCATAGTTCCACAAGTCTGGATCCTTCATTTGAGTCACCACGTTACTTGAGACACAATCCATCCATTTCATCGGCATCGACATCTTCAGGCTATCCTTTGAGCCCCACACAATCTGTCAGCTCAACCACAACAACGACTACTTCAACAGCCAACCCCATGATTCTTCAACGACGTGTTGATCCATTGATGTTTGGTGGTTCGGATGCTTTATGGGATACCATTGCCAAAAGTCAAGGAAGCGATTTGACCGTAGAAAAGATTATTACCAACTTTTTGCGTCGTGGTGGATCACCCAATACAGCCAAACAATCACCGTCCAACCAACATGTCAAATACGGATATGGTATGATCCATGCCTTAATTGTAACAAAGACACCAGGTGCTTTGGATTTGTTGTTACAACAAGGAGCCAACCCCAATGCAATGACGCTTAGTGATGAAGACAAGGACAAGGTGAGTTGCTTATATCGATGATGATGATGTTTATTGACATTATTATTACAATACTAGGTAACCCCATGCTACCTTGCTGCCAAAGTGGGATGGTTGCCAGGACTACAACGACTTGTACAGGCGGGTGGTGATCTTGTACAAGCACGTGGAGAGGGATGCAACAAGACGGCTTTGCATGTAGCTGCTGAGCATGGTCATTTGGCAGTCGTTGAGTTCATTGTTGGATATACCGAAGGTGCATTGAATCATCTTGTCGATACCCATCTTGGTGCTACAGCGTTACATTATGCATGTCATACTGCTCACGTTGAGCTGGTTACCTTCCTTGTACGTTCATGTCATATTGGAGTGACGCATGCTGATCGTCGTGGTGAACAACCCATCCATTGGGCAGCACGTGCAGGTCGTCTCGAGATTGTGGCCTTATTGATCGAACGCTTTGCCTGTGATGTCAATGCTTACATCTCTAAACGTGTGCCTACCCCACTCGAAGTTGCCAAGTCCGCAGGTCATAAACGTGTCGTCGAATACCTCAAGAGTCATGGTGGTCTCAGTAGCAAAAAGGTTGACAAGAAGCGTGAGGAGGAACGTTTAAAAAAGAGCTCTCCTACTTCACATTTACAATCCACACTCGCCATGAATGGACTTCTTGGTGGTGATCTTTAAGCAGTATTCCTCTTCCCCTCCCTCCCCTCCTCCATTCCATTGCATATTGTAATTAATCTTTTGTCGTTTAATATCATTGTATACATTTCATGTCGTCTATCATAAAGGGTTTATCGTTGTTGTGATGATGATGATTGTTCATGTTGTTGGAACATTTTCTGCTCTTCGGCCTTGACTGCTTCATCGGATAGGAATTGCTCATCACCGCTAGCAGCTGGTTTGGGTTGTTGTTGTTGTGGATCAAGTTGTGGTGGAAGTGGAGGATGTTCACGCAACTGGTCGGTTTCTCGGATGATGGCAAGTAACTTTGAATCCATAGGGAGGTTCGTTCGTAATGTACGCATGCCCTTCTCCATGCCTAATGCACCACCCAATGCAAGACCCGTAAAGAAACCCACTATGGAAGTCGACCAAAATAAGTGTCCCATGACCATCCATCCGATGTTTCATTGTCCATCACTTACAAATAGTAGGAATGCCTGTAGGCTTAGGGCGCGACTTGTCTACAATGATGATACATGTGTGAAAGAGACATCCACAATGCGTGCAATCAACGCGTCGTTCTCATCGTCGTCGTCATTTTACATACTCCATAAATAGCCAGACAATCCAAGTGAACCAGCACCAGCCGTTGCTATATAGAAGTATCAGTACATGAATATAGAGAGAGAGAGAGAGAGAGAGAGAGCGCGCGATCGTTCTTCATGAGGACGTACCAAGGGAAATGACATTGAAGACAGCACCTCGAATGACAGTGCGCTCTTCTGGAGTAGGCTCGTACTTTGTCAATTCGTTCTTGATTTCCTCTTTTGACATTGTTGTGGATACGATGTTGTTTTGACGTTGGTTGAAAAAGGAGACGTGCGAGTGAAAAGTATCAAGAACAAAGAGACCAAGGTAATGGAGATAAATAAGACCGTGGATAAGATCCCGCTTCTCCCGCTCGTTGTTCCACGAATCAAGAAATGTTCACCCATCCACATCCACAGTTGCATGATTCTTATGATGGCCCAGGAATCCCATTACACATGGCTATCATCGCCACCGTACTCATGCTCATTGCAGTCTTTTTATGCTCAGTCGCCTTTCGATACTTCATTTATACCATTGCCATTACAGGATTTCTTATAGGAGGTATGTGTAAACACACACATGGGCATATCAACATCATTGCTATTACTCATCTTGCTGAATATACTACATGTAGCTATGGTGACATGGATGATATTGACAGCAGCCGAACCATTAGACCATGGGTATCCACGTGCTTCGGTGGTCTACACTTGTGGTTGTTTTGGTGCTGGAGTAATACTAGCTACGGTGCTCATGTTTTATTGGCGTGTGGGACTTTATTTTCTGCCAGGTAGCATTAATCGATTAAGCTCACTAAACCGTTACTAATCATACACCCATAGCATTTGCCGGCTATATGCTAGCCATCTTTATTTGGTGCTGGAAAGACGACTATATCCTACTCAATGTCTATGCAAGGCAATTCACTAGTGTCGGCTTTGCTGTGGGTGGTGTCCTCCTTGCATTGGTGTGCGAGTTTATTACGGTGATCTTGTCGATTTCATTCATGGGTGCCTACTCTTTCATGTTTGCCCTTGATTTATTGATCCATGCGGGTATGGTGGATGGCCCACGCTTCATGCTTGATTTCAGACCCCACATTCAAGAAAAACAACATTATCACCTATCACAAAAGGTATATGCCATGCTCGGTGGCATCCTCGGCTTATGGGTCATGAGCATCATTTGGCAACTCGCTTATAATCGTGGCAGACGTTTTGGTGTTCAAATTGTACCCAAGAAAGACTAGTTCATAATGATGTTGTATAAGTTGTGTGATATATTCTCAAGTAAAATCCAGTTCAAAAGAGAGAGAGAGATAGAAAAAGAGTGATAGAGAGAAGATAGGGAATTATGTAAACAACAAGGCGGGATCATCAGGGTATAGATAAATAAGGGAAAGAGAGAGGCACAGGGGGGTTTTAGATATTCATATGGGCAAAAAAGAATGTATCATCAGGGATGAAGTTGATGTTGAGAAGACCATCGATCTTGTTGCATCCTTCGAAAAGCATCAATAGCATCATCCTTGCGTCTTGCTTGTCGAGATTTTTCAAACTCGCCGTCCATCATCGTGCTTGAATCCAGCTCATCTTCATTCAGTGTCTCTAGCGTATAACCCTGCCAATCGCAATCCTGTACCTTGCGATCAATCTCCTTTTGCCAATCATCTTCCATCTTTGATGCGTGATAGCCTTTCCAAACTTCAGAGTCTTCAGAAGGGGTTGATGATCCACGTCGGCCAGGTGTTGTCGACTCAAGAGGTGGGCTTGGATAACCATTCCATGTCTCGGATTCGTTGTCATTCGTATTCTTCTTTTCAAGATGATACAAGTAGCCATGCCATTCTTCCTCTGGATCCTCATTTTCTTCCTCCTCATCCACCTGCTGCTGTTGTTGTTGGTCTTCAGGTACCGATGATGCAGGCGACACGACCACTGAAGAGGGTGCAATAGCAGGGTTGGTGGTTGCTGTAGAAGCAGCTGCAGCTGATGTCGATAATTTGCTGGTGGGTACAAATTCAGGTGCAGTAGGTGACAAGCGTGATTTCTTGGTTTGTTTGCTGGTGGATGAATCCTGCTGTGTCGAACTTGTCATCACTGAATGACTTGTGCCTGCAATAGGAACCGGTGCACTGATAGCAGCATCATCATTCTTTTCTTCTTGGGGCTTGTGGTCGCTCCATAGGTTTTGCAAATCCTGATCCTCTTCCACCGCCATTTCTTGTTCTTCATTGTTGGTTTCAGGAACAGCTGAATGAGTCGTATCAACAACAGGCTCTGCAACATCTCCTTTATCATCATCATCATCATCGCCGTCGTCATCATCATCATCATCCTTGGTGGTATCTTGTGATGAGTCGTTGTCGGTGATGGTGACCACTGGATCGGGCTTGGTATCGATACTTGCACGACGAGATCGAGCCACAATAGGAGTTGCTGGTACAGAGAAAATGGCAGTATCCTCTTCCATTCGATCATTCTCCTCCACCATTTCCATTTCATCCTCATCCACATCACAAGCAAGTGATTCGCCTGGTGCAAGTGATTCGACTTGAATACTTTCCTCAATCAATTGATCCTTGGTGAGATACGCACGAGAGACAAGCCAATGATACGCTTGCAAATCTCCTGGAGCAATGTCAACAAGATTCGAAGGAGGAACAATTGCTGGTGATCTTAATCCTTCAACATGCACAGGCTTGATTGACATGCGTTTGCTTCTGCGCCTTTCCAATTCCGATCCTGCCTTTGATCCATCTTGTTGTTGCTGTAGTAACTCATCTACTGGTAGCTCCGTGGTGGTACTTTGCTGACACAATTCAAGGATAGCAACAATAGAAGACAATTTGCGAGCACCTGGTGCTGAGAGAACAGCTGAAACGGATACACGATCACCCGCAGTGTACTCCTTGATGATGGAATGGATCGAAGCAAGATGGGGTTGGATCCAAGGTACAGCCATCATCACTTTGTTGCCATTGTTGATGTACAAGAGGTTCAATTTGCGATGCAACATGTCATGATACGCTTGATAATTCTTTGAAGGAGATAGCAAATGGGCAAGATCACGATACATGTCGCGTGTGCGAGTGGGACAAGGATGCCACAATCGACGTAAACGACGTACTTCGGGTAGCATGAGTGCTTTCATGACACTTGCGAAACCTGAAAAGTCTCTGTAGACGTGAACGAGAAGATAAGCGACACGCACCAAATGGACAACCAAGTTGTCTTTGGGATGCACGGTCGGCACCACTGCACTTGCCGGCGTTAGCTCCGACCAGTAGATGAGCTGATGGGCAAAGCTGTTGGTAAGGTAACGATGGAAATCTTGGAGATGGACCAGATGTGTTTGTCGCATACGCTTATCGACAGGACCACAAAGCAATTGCTTGTCGAGAATGACCCGGGAATACAACTGTGCATTGACAACGGCTATTTGACGAGCAAGAACATCCGGATCCCAATGAAACGCTGTTGCGGACTCGACGGCTTCCATTTGTTGCTCCACTGTATCCAGCCTATGCCGTTCCACCTGAGTATCCTCGAGAAGTCGTCTCAAACTGCTCACATCCACCCGTGGATTCGTTGCTTGCTTGGCTTGTGATAGTCGTTGTGTCGCTTCAGCAAACGAAGCCTTGCATTCAGCCGATGTTTTCACGAGTGGAGACACAGGTACAAGTGGGATGGATGCCATTCTCTCAATAGGCTATGGTGTGTGTGTGTGTGTGTGTGGTGGATGATAAAAAAAAAGAGATTCGGGCTATGTACAAAAAGAAAAAAGAGAAAAGAAAATGTAAAAGAGAAAGAGAGGGGTCGCACGAAAAGTGGGTTGTGGAATTTCAACTGTTTGCAGATACACACACTCACTCACTCACTCACTCACTCACATACACACAAAAGGATATAAGCTCTTTTTATCTCTTTTTTCTCGGTCCGCTTCCTTCACTCAATGTCACTTCACCGTATTCGCCCATTGTCACAACTCGCTTCATTCTATCTACGTCCTCAATGCCGATCAACACATTCAAAGGCGTATGTGACAACACCTATTTATTATGTCAACGCTGGTACGTGTCCTTTACTATTTTGTATGTTTATCAATACCTTGCACCTGACAGACAAATTATACACATACACACACACATCAAGTTCCCCATATTGGTCATTTGTATTCTAGTGTGCTTGCTGACACGTTAACACGATACTATGCCCTGAAAGGTGCTGATGCTTTCCTCTGCACAGGCACGGATGAGCACGGTCTTAAGGTAAAAGAGAGAGAAAAACAAGCATGTGGATTAGGAGGAGAAGAAGAAGGAAAAAGGGATAACCGTTACTAGGGGGTCTTGCTGATTCAGGGATAAGAAAAGGGTGTATTGGCTCATTATGTATACGTAGATCCAACAAGCAGCGGCAAAGAACAATGTGTCCCCTGTCGAATTGTGCAACAAGGTTTCCGAAAGCTTCAAGGTAACACACGCATCCAAGGATGGTTGGATCGGGAACGAGTGCATATATGTAACAGCCACGTGCCTGATTTATAGGCTCTTTGCAATGCTGCCAACGTGAATTATACAGCATTTATGCGTACCACGGATGAGAATCACAAAAAGGCGGTCGCAACTTTATGGGTAAGGATCATATACACCCCATTTCAATATGAGAGACCTTATTGAAATCCTCTTTTTATTAGGGTGAATTGGAAAAAAATGGATACATCTACAAGGGCAAACACGAGGGATGGTACGCAGTATCAGATGAAGCCTTTTATGCAAGCAATCAGGTGCAAGAAGTAGTGGATGAAAAGACGGGCGAGAAATACATGGTAAAGTAACCCCATGTTCCTTCGTAATTGACAACAAGGAACTCAACATGGATTATGGTTTAGGTGGCTATTGAGTCTGGCCAACGTGTAGAGTGGACAAATGAAGAAAACTACAAGTTCAAACTTTCGGCATTTCAAGACAAGCTGTTGGAATGGATCGATAGCAACCCCACAGGTATGGTAGGGCATAGGTGACATTGTTTTCTTGATTCCTAAAGGAGAGCATACTACGTAGCCATTGTGCCATCCAATCGACGTAACGAGGTTGTATCATGGATCCAAGGTGGACTTGCCGATTTATCAGTGTCACGTTTACGTTCTCGACTTGATTGGGGTATTCCTGTGTCCAGCGATCAAGATCATACCATTTACGTGTGGCTCGATGCGTTGACAAACTACCTTACAGCAGCTGGCTATCCTTGGAAGGATCCTTCGAATAACAAGATTTGGCCTGCTGATATTCATGTTGTCGGCAAGGATATTGTGCGGTATGTTGTATCACTATCCATGGATCAAATGGAGGAGCCTATGCTGATTTTTGGGTGATTTAGATTTCATGCAATCTATTGGCCTGCTTTCTTGATGGCTGCCAACTTGCCTCTTCCCAAGCAAATCCTTGCACATGCACATTGGACCATGAACAAGCAAAAGATGTCAAAGAGCAAAGGCAATGTTGTGGACCCTTTTGAGTTGATGAATGTCTATGGTGCGGATGCTGTGCGTTACTTTTTGGTGCGTGATGGTGGTTTGGCGGATGATGGAGGTGAGAGTCTATTTACATATGGGTCCATGTAACTTGGCGCTAACTTGGGTTACTTGTGTAGACTTTTCAGAGAGCAACATGATCAAGCGATACAAGGATCTTGCTGGACAGCTTGGAAATTTATTGTCTCGAAGCACGGGCACCGCATTGAATCCAGATGCTATGGTACCTGCTGCACCCCAAGGACCGGTGGATACGCGTGACCAAGCATTGCATAAAAAGTTGACACAAGTAGCAGGTAGGATAATGACATTGGGGGATTAGAGCATGTCTAATGCATGGTGATAGGCGAATATGAACAAGCCTTTGAAGCACGTGAATTTAATAAGGCGTTGAGCACTGTATTTGATTTGCTGTCTGAGGTAGGTGGCAAAAGATGATGATCCTTGGGAGAATGACTTGGTATTAACATGTTTTCATTGTATTTAGGCCAACAAGCATTTTACAGACAATGAACCATGGGTCCTTGCCAAAGACCCTAGCCAGAAGGAGCGTCTTGATCAAGTCATTTACTATGCAATTGAATCCTGTCGGGTTGCAGGTACACTGTTACAGCCCGTGATGCCTGTCAAGATGAATGAATTGCTCTCACGTATTGGTGTGGATGATGACAAGCGCACGCTCAAGTATGCAGCCACACAATCAATTGACGCACGACCCTTGGGCCCAGCATCATCCGTTTTGTTCCCTCGCTTGAAAAAGTGAGAAGTTTAAAATGTCATCTTTTAGAGACAAACCCCCCATTGCTATCCATTCATTGTATACAATCATCCATTCCCTTTTCTTCGTATAGTAGACTCTACGTACATTGTAACAATATTCATATCATAGCCCCCCAAATAGAATGCACTTGTTGAAAGATTTAGCTTTGACCTTTACAATGATAAAGCATGATGCATGATTTGCCGATTGATGTATTCAACATTGGAGCGATCAAGTTTTGAAGAATCAATATACAAGGACAAGGGGAGGGAGTGTAGTAGCAACAACAATAACATTAGCAATCTCCTGGATACGATATCCAAAGGACCCCATTGGGAAATAGCACGTGCACGTCATGCACACCACCGAGTTAGGGCATCTTGACCAATGATAATCCATTCGATGATCATCACCTAGCTGAGTTGGTTTCTATGGCAACATCACATGAATAACAATGTTGTAAAATGACTACTAATAGTACTTACCACCATTGACCCTTCGTTGTCGTTTCTTTGGAGGAGGTTGAAAAGGACCATAGAGTTCTTTCATAAGATCTTCATGCCTTGTATCGGAAAGACTTCCAAGGACAGCTCCTCGATCAGGCGCGTTGTTCTCTTCTGATTTGTAGATGGGGGTGTCGCTGTCAATGTCGTCATGTGGATCATGAATAGGGATGGCAAGTTTCCGAGGATGGAAGGATGAGCGTAATGATGATGATGCTGATGACGGTGATGACGGTGATGATGATGATGACATGGGTAATCGGATGGGTGGTAGAATTAATGATGATAAAGGTGGAGGTATGCGATGTTGTTCGATGATGTCTTCAGGTGTATGAGGACCTGCTTCACTGGTAGGGGATGTGTCGGTAGAATTGGATGTTGGATAGCTTTCAGGTTCCGGTTTCGTTGACAAGCACAAGCAAGGAGAGCGATCACAACTTTTGCAAAGCAGTACGCTCGATGATTCTGGATCATGCTTTAGTTAAAATGACATCGCATGATGATTCGTGGTATAAGCAACATACCTGATTTTGTGATATTAGGTGTTGTAGTGGAGGTGCCATTATATAAGCAGCTTGAAGAAGGAGATGGTATGATTGATGTAGGTGATGCAGAATATGATGATGGTGATGCCGTAATAGTAGTAGTGCTAATAGTAGTAGTAGTAGTAATAGTAGATGTCGTGGTGATACTGGTAGTGGTAATGGTGGATGAGGGTGTAGCAGGTTGAGAAAACGTGTCGTCTGCTGGTGGAGTAGGTGTGTTGTTGGCGACAGGAGGATCAGACGTAGCTTTGTCGGTACAAATGCATTTGATATGTAGCTGTTTGGTCTTCCTTAGCTGGCGACAAGATTCACACTGGGATATAGGTCGTCCTTTCCTTTTGATCTCTACTAGCTCTCTATCAGTATGCTGACACCGAGTCGATCTATGGCCCTAAAAGAACAACCACCACCATTCAGCCCAACGATCATCTTTTGAGCAAGGACACCACGAGCTTACCTTGATGCAGGTCTTGCATGCGTACTTGCGAGCAATGCCATCGTCTCCAGTAATGAATACCATGGATGTGCGTGACGAATGAGGAGTGTGCAACCAGTATTTTGACGCTGATATGGAATAGATAATGAAACGGTGATACGGTAAATGCTAGAAAGAAAAAAAGATGCGTCAAGGTAAGAAACCCGAGAAACACACATGTCTCGAGCCGCCGCCAACTGCGCTGCTTCCCTATGGCACACACCCAAAACCATACCTGTGGTTCGTCCCCATTTGACACGTACAAGGATTCACACAGAGATATCTATACAAGAACATTTTAATGTATTGTTTGTTGATTCAAGATCCACATGCTGCAACTATGCTTATATGAATACATCATATTCTGCATCGAATTTAGTCTACTGTACAACCTATACATACGCTTTGACCATCTCAATTCAATAAATAAAGATGATAATGATCCCCTTTTTCTTGCTTGGTTAAAGTAGACCTATAGAGCTATTCTATATTGTATTATTAGGTGGATGGCTGCACTTGGGGTGATGGATACATACAGAGAGTACGTATCAATAGGCGTACCTGAGATGCTGTGATTTCCGAGGCCGCTGAGTGAGTGATGAGGATGAGTGGCCCAGCAGGGAAAAGCCACCCATACGATTTTTCACATTTTGCTTCTCCCTCTTTCTTTCTTCCTTTTGCTTCAACTATGGCTCACTCGAACGTCTGGAACTCTCGTCCCCGTCAATATGGCAAGGGCTCTCGCCAGTGGTATGTTGTTATTCAATAACACTACTCAACTCGATACAGCAATGAATAACATGAGCCCCATCCCCATTACAGCCGCGTCTGCGCTCACACTGCTGCCTTGATCCGCAAGTACAACTTGAACATTTGCCGTCAATGCTTCCGTGAATATGCCAACGACATTGGTTTCCACAAGGTACAGTTGTCTACCACATCAAGTGATGGAAAATGGATTGCTTTTGTATAGCAAGGCACTAACTTTTGCTGTTTTCATCTAGTACCGTTAAATGGCCACTGTATCATAGAAACTAGGCACCATCATCATCATCATCATTCATCCATATTAAAAAAGATGCATTGATATGTCTCACAAAAACCCATGAGTGGATAAGGATCCCATGTTGAAAGAAGACCCTTCTGTTACAGAACCCCAGTTTGTAGGGGTCCACCCATAAATTGACACTACTTGTGTGTGAATGTCTTCCTTGTCATCTTTCTTAAACTTGTGTAAACTAAAATGATGGACAGCTACGGTACAATTTATCCATTGACCAATCCTTTGTTGCTTGCCACTAGCGCTCTTGCAGTTGTAAGTAGTACATGGAGCACACTTTTCAACATCAACTAAGTAGTCTATGTGGGTAGGCTGGATGGCTTATTGCTTTCATTGGTGCATGTGTTGCTGCATTCCATGGTGTCGTTTGGTGGATCATCATCTTTGAGCTATTCTTTACAGTTGGCATGGTTGCATCACTGGGTATAGGTGCATTTGGCCCACACCGTGGCACGGTAATAGATTGTTGCTATGCAATTGTTGTTGGCGTACATCTAATTCAGACTTGTTGAAACAGCTGTTGACATTTTTGGCTATCAGCTTTGTGTATTTGACCTATGCCATCCCTATCGTCTTGTTCGATCATTCAGATGGTGGCCGTGCCACTACCGGTGGTCTCATCATCATGGTTATCATGCAGGCATGTATTGCTATTGCTGTTGTTGTATACACAAGGGTAAATAATTAACACGCCGAGATTACATCACTTGCAGGGCTTGTGGATTTTCCTCCTCGGCATTTCCAACGAATCTCGTCTGTACTCGCTCTTTTATGGAGGTAGCGGTCGTGGTGGCTTCCCCGAAATTCGTGCACCTGCCATCAGCCGCAACTTTGTTCATCCTCAACGTAACAAGGAAAGCACTCTTCCTCAGACTACACAAGGCACTTCACCGATCCCGGAAGCTCACCAAAAGCCCCAACGCTTCCCTACAGCAACTGCCTTGCATACTTGTATGTTGCACACTCACACACACATAGCATTATGATGCATACATGAAAATCATTGACATTGTTAATCATTGAATAGATCAAGCCAATCCTGAGGATCCAAGTGAATTGTCCTTTAGCAAGGGTGATGAACTCGAAATCTTGGATCGCAAGGGCAACTGGTGGCAAGCTAGAAAGCAGGATGGTGCTACTGGCATCGTACCCAGCAACTATGTAAGATGACAAGTTGATGGCATCTACCGCATGTACTCACAAATCCTCTTTTCATTTAATAGTTTAGCTCTTCGTAAATGAATCTTTTTAGCCACCTGCATCCACACTTTGTTGAATAGCTTATAGCCTTTTTTATTTGCCATGCTTTACTATAGTAATACATAATGAAATCGATGATCCATTTGCACATGCGTATCATTGCGTCTAGTAGAAATCCTTGGGCATGTGAGAGGAAAGGGTATAGTGAGTGATCTACCACGTCACATGTTGTATGGCCAGTGCATCGTCGGATTATGGGGGCGGGGCAAAGTGGACGTTTGACAAGAAACGCGTTTCCTTGGTAACACTTTCTCCACAACTACCATGTCCTCTGGTTTTGGCTTGGACGGCGGTAACGTGTCATACATACATACATTCATAGTACTTTACATCTCGTTGAGTAATGGGGCTCATATCGTCGACTGTTTATCATTGCAGGCCGTGGCCGATGCTTTCATTTCTGGCAAGAGTTCAACAAGTGCTATGCTACTGCCGATTTCCCGCAACAATGCCTTGCACAGCGCGATGACTATATGGAATGCTTGCACCACACCAAAGAGGTAAGAATAAAGCAGCGTGAATAGCTTGAGAAACGGGGGACTCACCATCTCGGATATATAGTTTGCACGTGTAACCCGTATCAAGGCTGAAGAGCTCAAGGAAGCACATAAGAAGCAGCTCAAGGAAGGTGCTAATGCTGCTGCCACCTCCAAGATCCATCATCTCAACATCGTTGCTGAAAAGCAGATGCACAAGATTGGACAAGAGTTGCTCAAGGAAGAAAGCAAGTTTGAACCACCCGCAGCTTAGATACATGCAATGCACTTTTTCATTAAAGATTCACGCGTATCTTTTCACACACAAACACATCACATCATCATTCGTGTGTGAACAATGGAATGGATCTGTCACATGTGGGAAGCAAAAAAAATAGGATGTGGCATACAATTATCATGCAGCGGCTTCTTGACGTGGTGCGGACATAGGCCACGGATGACTCCGTCGCGGTAAATCATTGTTGCTACACAATGACGCATTTGGAACAATGACTTGTGCACAAAAAGTTTTACAGCCCTTGCATACTACTTGAACAACGAATAGGGGTAATCACCATGGCATTCTATTCTTTTAGCTATCATTGTTATGTCGTCTCCATGGAAACCTTATTGGAAACATTCATGCAGCTAGCAACTATACTATGTCGTTGAAAACCAAAGCGATGGTAAAGTGATGAATCAGGAAACATGCAAGATGCGCATTGATCGTACAATCCGGGTAGTTGGAACAATCTCGATTTGATATTCGGCGCTTTCTCCGAAGAAGTTCTTCCAAGGTAACAATGAGCGTCGGATTAACAATGATGACTTTTTGTGCCACGGAATTATAAATCACGGCGACAACATCCAAAGGGTTTGTGCGATTACTTTTCTTTTGACTTTTATCGAACAACGATCATGACGAATCCAGTACTCGATGTTTGGAACTTTTATGTATTGCCCTGGCTACCACAACAACATGGACAACGTTTACTTCAACAAGGTCGCAACCATAAGCTAGCGACGATCTCTACAGCGATCATGATCATCGGCCTCTATTTTGCATACGATAAGATTGCACGACCTCCTCGTCATCTACGCCATATTCCTCGTATAGGATTCTTTCGATACATTTCAGCAGTAGCCCGAGGCAAAATGGTAGATGAAATTGCTCGTGATATCACGCTACCTGCTGCAACAAAGGCTGAAGGTGGTATCTATATGGTAGGCACTATCATCATTATTCAACGTACGTAAAGGCATTAACGAACATACCTTTATCCACACACACAGCGATTTGATGAACATGGTTGGGCTGTTCATGTTGCTCGCCCTGAAGCTGCCAAGCGCATGTTGCTCAAAATGGGTATGTAAAGAAGTTTTGATTTCATTCGATTACCTTTTCCATCCACTTACACCATGATGATAAGACATCTTTCCAAAAATTGATCTCGTCAAGCGTGTGGGACCCACTCTTTTCGGCAAGTTTGCCTTTGGAGACAACATTGTATTCTTAAATGGCGCTCATTGGAAAGCTCAACGCAAGGTGAGACAAAAGGAGACAACAATGAATGAAAGAATGGCGATTGACACGAGGCATTAGATTGCCAGCCCTGCATTTAACCGATCGATGCCAGTGCAAAAATTTGGTCGACTTAGTCAAAAGCTGTTCGCCGTGATGGATCAAGAGCAAGGACCCGTTAATTTTCATGATTTCGCTCAGCGATGGACCCTCGATGCAATTGGGATCAATGGGTTCGGTAATTAGAAGAGGATGGGAAATGCCATGTGTGATGCCAACATCTATTCATGCATGATTTGAATTAGGCTTTGATTTTAATGCCACCGGAGATCCACAAGCCGAGTGGTTGCAGCGCTACAACAAGTTTGTGCAAGCTATGCTGAATCCGTTCTTTATCTTTTTCCCGAGCATGGATAGCAAGCATGTATCGTGGTTTCCAAAGCGGAAACATGTGCATGATGAGCTCGGCAAGTTCCTAAAACTGATCGACGACGTTATTGAGAACAAGCGTGCCTTCCTTGAAAACACCACTCTTTCCGATATCCCTGAAGCTGAGCGAGACATTCTTACGTTGATGCTGGAAGCTGAAAGCGCTGAGGATGGTAGACTAACCGATGAAGAATTACGTGTAAGTAAACGAAGGAGTGTTATCGATCATTTGTTAATGCGAAATGCCAGAGCAACATTTGTGTCTTTTTCCTTGCAGGACATGACACAACGTCAAATGCATTATCTTATGCTTGCTACTACTTGGCCAAAAATCCAGACATACAGCAAAGAGCTAGAGAAGAGGTGCTTCGAATTCTTGGAGATACACCAGAAGACGTATTGCCAACGCTTGAACAAATCAAGGAGATGAGATTTATTAACCAAGTCATCAAAGAGGTATGTATACAATGAGACAAGACACAACCCAAAGTATTCATCAATCGTGCTTATAGACGCTACGTATCAATCCACCAGCGACTGGTATTGTCCCACGCCGAGTAGAAGAGGATACAGAGTTGTGTGGTGTCTTTTTACCCAAAGGCACGAATATCACGCTTGACATCTTTGAGATTCACAATAATCCAACTGTGTGGCAGGATCCACGTCGTTTTGATCCGGATCGTTTTGCCAAAGGTGGCGAAGCAGATCAGCTGGCTGGCTTGGGTCTTTCATGGTTGCCATTTTCCAACGGGTCCCGTCAGTGTATAGGTAGGCATTGATGATGGGTTACAAACACTTGCACGCATATCATAACATCAATGCATGAATAATAGGCATGAATTTCAGCTTGGCGGAACAGCGAGTGCTCCTTCCCATGCTGTGTAAGTAGGCTCATTTTATCTTTAATTGATTGCTGATATGCCTTATCTTTCTTAGTACACAAATACGAGTGGACATTACCCGAAGATTCTATCCATAAGGAAAAGCTGGTTACTGAAGGGATTGGTCTCATCAAACCAAAGCAATTGCACGTCAATTTCAAAAGACGTTATTAGCCAACCTCCTGTATACCAATACAATCCATTCCAAAGAAGCCATCATAAGACTATGTTCATTGAAGAAGGTGTATATTTACAAAAAAGACTTATATCTACTCTCTCTTTCTCTTTCTCATAATAAGAACAGCTGACTAAAAATGATGTCTATAAAACTCCCCGTTAGCTACTATGATACATCCCATGTGAAAAATGCCAACCTACCTTTTGTGTGTGTGTGTGTGTGTGTGGGTATCATTGTTGTATGCTCAAATGTATAGGCCAATGTTCTACTGTGTATCGTCCTGTGCGTCGTGGTTCGAAGCAGAGGTGGGATGACTCGTAGTCAGACTATCACTTTTTGCTACTGATGTATCCAAAGGTTGATGCGTTCGAGACGTTGCTTTCTTTCGAGAAGGAATGTCGACATTGGATGGTTGATGATTTGAAGAAGAACCGATAAAGCTGTTATTGGATGATTGATGGGTGAACGCTGTTGCAAAAGAGCTGATGCTTGAAGTGCGACTAATATCATTGGTATCCGCAGGTGAACCCAATCGCATTCGTTTGGTATCATGAGGACCTTCTTCCACATAGGTATCCACTTTGCGTTTGTGATCTTCATTCTCTGATAAGGTAGTTGTTGCATCCGTCGCTGGTGTCTTCTCCGCAGCAGGCATTGTAACATCCGATGTCCCCATTTCATTGTCATCAGTGGTCGCACGTGTATCACGAGATCCCTTTTCTCCATCCATCAATGATAAGTCGTCCTCTTGTGGATCATCCAATAAATCGCTATCTTGCTTTGGTGACAATAATGTCTTCTCGGTATCCTTCGTGCAAGAAGTTGATGCTGATGTTGACGCTGATGTCGATTGTTGTTCTTGCTTTTCTGCTGGAGGACTTTTTTCTTGTTGCGTGGTGGAGATGCCCTGCTTTTCCATTTCTGCCAGCAGCTGCTTATCTCGTCTTCCCGAACGAATTGCATCGATTTCAGTAACAAGCTCCAGGAACCGTTGATTGTCGAGATTGATAGCGTGTTTGAGCTCTTGTATTCGTTGCATGTATAGTTGACGTGCTAATTTGACAACGGGTGGCATGTCCTGTGCTGTTGCTGCCGCACTCGATTTTGTATGTCGTCTACAGAAGAAAAGGCACGCTTGTCAACCCACCCGTAATGAACAAAGAGAAATGCCCTTACTTACTTTTCAGTTTCCAATTCGTCGATCAATAAATAGTACTGAAGCGAGCAATTCTATCGATCGAAGGGTTATTTACTAGCTAGTCTTTCAACCCCAATGTCGCTTGCCTTTTGATTAAAGAACTCTGGTGGTCGATTGAGCATGGTGTGTTGACGCAAGTTTCGTGCAATGTGGACCCAATCGTCTTCTCCAAACTTGTATACTGCTTGAGCGAGCAATAGCTTTTCCAACACCGTCCACTCTCCAGTCGAAGTCATGATAAAAGAGACAAGGTGATACGATGTAAAATGAGTGAGTGTAGAGAGCGAGAAAGAAAGGTGAGACAATGACCCACCACCCACCCACCCGACTCCTCCTTTGGTGTCTGACATTCCAGCACATGTTCTCATTGGATCATTTTCCTTGCTGATCCGTATTACAATGCACCGCATTTTGCAGTAAAGGAGATTATCCCTTTCCTCATTAACTTGCACTACTTTCGTTGTCTATCAACTCACTCATACAACGCTTCCTGTAACCATGGCAATCATAATAAAAATTTCATATTTACTTAAGAAATGATTACGAGCTCCTTGAGAATTGATGGCTGACAGCATGAGTCCCCTTTCAAATTGCTACTACGCATACACTAGCTACTACCTCACTAAAGGGATTGAACGATCTTAAAAGTATGCCTGGTTTGGTTTATTGTTGCTATCAATGACATTTATAGCCGTAATGAATTATAGCAATTGCTAAAACGTTTTCAATCCCTTGATGAATGCCCTTGAGAGCATAAAATATGTCTTTGCGTATACCATGGCCGTAGCAGACACACCTAACGATAAAGGTAAATGAGCTAAAGTATCAACAACATGTACATATGACCGACACTTACATGATCCAAGGGGTGTGCGGCGTGTTGATGAGTGCGTAACGCTACTGGTGCTGCATAGCGATAACCACAAAATTGACGATGGCATACGTGTCGATTCAACTTTATATGAATGCCGTGTTAGTAACCAAAAATTGAAGCAAAGGTTGATACTCACTGGATTGTGGTGCGTACGCACATGGTCTTCTAGCATGTCGTTGCACCAAAGAACTCGCAAACAAATGTCACACCGTACCTAATTGAAAAGACATGGATTAACTAGGGAAACGTACGTGTTTGCAAATTTTTACCTCAAGCTCGGGGTGAGCAATTCGTACATGAGTGTAAGATCAAGAACTTGTGGGTATGGTGGCGGTTGCATCTATGCCCGGGACAGCGGTAGGCTACAGCCTTGATAATCGTTTGACTCTATTAATGGCTACCGTTGCAGTCCAAATACTTCCAAGCTTACCGCGTCATCATGGTAATAGCGGCTGTGTTGTCACACTACGTATTGGGGTAAGCAAAATCAAAAGACAGCGGCAATGATGCAAAGGGAAAAATACATTGAAGCACGCCTCGTCTTTGTTCGTATGCCAAGAGGGCCTCTTCGTTTCCTTGTCTGTAGCCAAGATTACGAATATGTCCGATCAATCCATCCACGCGTGCGAACCCTCGCATGCAACCTGCGTGCATACATACGAACCGGTGTCTCTGTGAAGTGTGATTAGCGTTAACAGTGGGGTTTATGAACGTCACATATTGCTATGGAAAGTACTTACCGGATTATGATTCCTAACAATGTGTCGTTGTCGATCGAAGTCTGAGGTGAAACCTTGGCCACATGTCCCGCATACCTGATAACACGAATTTACTAACCAGCAACATGGCTAGGTTCGGGTATGGTAATACTTACATGATAAAGTGGATGTTGCCGTTGCTTGTGCTTCCGCAGGCCGACCGGTTGTGCGTAGCGGTAACCACAATGCTCCCGGTGGCAGACATGTGGATTCAACTTTATAGGGGTACGACGTTAGTAGCTACAAAAGTGAAGCAAAGATGTATACTCACTGGGTCATGGTGTATGCGGACATGATCATCCAACATGTCGTTGCAAGCACAAGGGAGCAAACAAAGAACACAGCGTACCTAATAGGAAATGAAAAAAAAGTCAATGATGGAAAATTGGCATGCTGGTAAATGTTTACCATCAGCTCCGAATGATAATGACGAACATGGGTGTAGACATTGTACTTGTTCACATTCGCCATATTGCATCGACGAGCGGGGCACCGATACACTACGGCCTTGAAAAAAGTTGGACTTCATTAAATGACCCTGTGGCACTCCCAACACCTTCAAACTTACCTGATCATTATGGTGAAGTCTGGTATGATTATGTATCCAAGCTTCTTTGGCGAGTGAATCGATGGCGACATGTCTCAACCTCACACACAAATGGATTCAACTTGGGTATAAAATGTGTATCAGTACCAAAGCTCTCCATGCAATGCACGTTCTCTTACCCGATTATAATGTTTTTATTAATCCCTATCTTGGACTTGCTCAGATGTGGGTTCAAGTTCACAAATGCGGCAATCAAACCGGGAGGCTGTCATATCGCCACCACCATGCAGGTTGTAACAGCCTATGCCACCCGATCCAAAATACGCATGCATCTCGGGAGGAAGTACATAGCTATATCGAAAGGAATGTGAGTATGTAATTCATCAAGCAAGATGATTAGGTTTTACCTTGATAAAAGAGCCAAATATCATAATGACGACAACGACAATGAAAGTACTAGGATAACAATGAAACCTTAAGCATCATCACAGGTATTAGCACATGGATAGCTCACAACAAGGACTCTCAATCATGATACTCACCAAGGAATTTTGAAGGTGTCAGCAACCAAAGAGTGATATGATGGAAAGAGAGAGGTGGGTGGGAGAAAAGCGATGGGCGACAACATCCACCTTGTTTATATCTGCATGGTCGGCGTGGGTATTTCTGTGACCACAAACATGGAGAAAAAAGGGTGATAAAATGCTCGTTGGAAATGATAATGAGCTGATAAATGGTTGGGGCACATTCACAAAGAGCCTTGGTGTGGTTGATTGTCCAAGCATAATGAATCAGGGTCTGAGATGAACGAGGTGGCAATATCCGTCATCATCCATCTGCTATCAAGCATCACTTGTTGCTATGCTCAAGTTCCACGAAAAAAGATGTTGTTCGAGGATGTTGGTGCGAGTGGTCATTCTGAAAGGGAAAGTCCATAGCATCTCCATCGATAACCGTAGTACACAAGCGTAAAGGTCCTTGGCGACCACACATCTCATATGAGAGATACAACGGCTTCCAATGTATTGGGGTTGACAAGCTGGCGGCCATCGTTGGAATTGATCCTGTAAGCCGTATTGTTGTCGAGTCATTATCGTAACATGCAATGGTATCAGCCTACGTTGAAAAATCCAGCATTAGCTACATACAGTGTGTCTTCATTCCCATACAAATCCTTACCTTTATCTCCATTTGATGTTTGCTGATGATTGATCTGCGAATTGATATGGCTGTGCTCAAACGTGGTATTGTATAGCAGGCTTCTTGTAGCTCGAGGGAAGTAAATCAAGCTGTGTCTTGAATCCATGTTGCATGTCATCCATGGTTGTGAAACGCCTTTGGCCAAATGCATGATTCATCCATTCATCCTCCTCAGCAGTATCCACGTGCCATGATCCTCCCTGCTGACAACATGAAAAGTAACCATGATAGCTCTCCAGCTTGCCATGTCGATCCACAAGTCCATTACGTTGCTGTGGTAACCATGGTGTTACTGCTGCTATGCTCCGTTTCCATGCGCTCATGGGCGTTGCTGTGATATAAGCCAAATCCATTGCTGCGAATCGTATCGAGGAGTAGCCGAAGGCTGATATGACATCATCCAAATGGACCATTCACGTCGTATGCTTCAATAAAGATGAACCTTGTTAATGATCATCTCTTTTACAATCCACCATCGATTCTTTTTTGTACCTCAATAAACGGCTGTATCATGTAAAGTCTCTTGCTGAATGGATGATGATGACGCGTGTTTTGGGGAATAAGGAAATGATGATGGTCAACGCGTGGCATAGTTGTTGTGTCATCGAGGAAGCTGATGCGTCATGCTGTAAAACACCCTTTGGAACTGGTTGATCGCCATATTGTCAAGCTTGAAAAAGAACTCGAGCACAATGGCAAGCCATGGCTTCGTTACTTGATTGGCGTAACTCGTAAGGAATGAATGCCGATGGTGCCGCTGTCTCATCGCTTGAGAGCATGTCGTAGCGAACAAATCGTTGCGATTGGCATTGTCGAGTTGAGTGAAATGCAGTTAGAGGAAAGAGAAAGGCGACCAAATTTACTCTGCCCAACTTGCCCTTTTCATTGTCTGCATGTTACACATTGTGTCAGGCACACCCCGAAAATCAATGCATGATTGCACCACGCCAACAACCTCGTCGTCATGGAAATGTATGTCTCGTTGCTCAACATTTTATATATTTACAAGCGTGTTAAATTACTATATAGACAATTCTTATGCTTTCTTTTCGTCCACTTTGATCGATGCGGCTTTGAGAGAAGCTGCAGCTGACTTTGGTGCTGAATCATCATCGTCTCCAAGCACGACTTCTTGGCCATCAATGACACGGACGGGACCAGTGAACCATTTTCGTGCAAAGAGGGCAAAGTAACCGCCAGAAAGAATCATGATAAAGGCGAAGGGAACAATGGCGTAGTTCATGTTATCGGGAGTGATGGGTGCTTCGGTGGGGCAAATGAAAAGGCAGCATGTAAAGATAAGCCAGCATGAGGAAATAACACCAACGATGGTAGAAAAGCGACCCAAGTTCCAAGGACCTAATAGATAAAAAATGTGAGCACTTTGTAAAGATTCATTCCTTATAGCAAGGAGCATACCAGGCTGGAAAGTTTTGCGTGCAACGGTGATACGTAGAACAATGGGCACAAGATAAGAGAGTTGGGAGCCGATTGTGTTAACCGAGACAATGGCCTCATAAGCTGTGCTGTTGATCATGTAAAGAATACCAACGATGCCTGAAACCTATATCATCAATCAATAACATGAGCAAAAAGAAGCGTTACGGATCGAAAACGAGGTCAACTTACAGTGATGTTGAACCACACAGCGTAAACAGGGTTGTTGGTACGAGGTTCTAAAGAGTGCAAGTACTTGGAAAGCGGCATAGCGCCGTCTCTTGAGAATGCGTAGACCATGCGGCTGGATCCTAGGACTAAACTGCTGCCACAAAAGAAGATGGACAACATTACAAAGATCAAAAAGACCATTGTCCATGCTGGACCTATGTTTTTTTTGTGTTAGCGATCTCAAATAGAGGTATGGTTGCCCTGGTTGTCTCAACATTTACCAACACCATCTAAAAAGACTTGTACCATCTGAGGCTGGATTGCGCTGTCACTTGTGATTTGAGCGGTAAAGTCTTTGACCATAAAGCTGATACCAATCAAAAAGATGAAACCACTAAATGCATTGGCAGCTACAGCTGTCAAAATACCGAATGGCGAGCCATGTTGGGAGTTTTTGGTTTCTATCATCACGATGAGTTAATATGAATCTCTTTGTTGCATGATGACGAGTGGTGGTGGTCTTACCTTCAGCCATGTGAGCGGCACTGTCATAGCCGGAAAGGGTATACTGTGATTGAAGGATCACAAGAAGGAAGGCGTAGCCATTACTCGAGAAACCAGAGCCATTGTAAAACTCTGAAAACTACATGATTGCACAAGAGGTTGAGCTCCCACGCTGTCAATGGTCACGTTGTTATACACACAACTTACCACAAAGCTACCAGTGGCAAGAGGACGAGTGATGGCAAGACCGACAATGACAATAAAGAGAATGCCAGCCATGTTGACAAAGACTAAAGATTGTATTAGTATGCGTTGCTTTGTTGTTGATCTTGCATGCTTACAGGCAAATTGGTTGATGAAACCATTAAACTTGACGGCGATCGAGTTGAGAATACCATGGACGACGATGATACCAACATAGATACCATATTGCATGTACACCGATGTATCCACCTCGGGTTGCCTAAGATAATAGAATTAAGGTTTGCACGATATATGGCAAGGGAAAATGCACAAACTTACCAAACATTGATCACGCCGGCAATGAATTGAGCTAATCCCAAATCGACACTGGTGATACCTTTATGGAAAAATCCGCGTGTAAGTGGTTGATAGGTAATGGAAGAAGAAGGATGGGAATTTACCGAAGCAAAGGCCGATCCAATTGAACCAGCCCGTCAACCAACACGCTAATGGCATGTAGGGTCCAGGAGCAAGGCGACTTGTCCAAAAGTACAAACCACCCGTGGTAGGGTAGGCACTACAAATCTCGGCAAGAGACATGGCCACCATCATGGTAAAGGTACCGGTGATGAGCCAACCCCAAATCACACCAAGCTATTTTCAATCATTCCTATTAGCTATGTTTGTTTGTTATAAAAATGACAAGCGTTTCACATACCGATCCACTGTCATTCATGGCATCGCCCCACATCTATTGTATAAGACAATGCATTTTTGATTAGCGTGATGAGGGGTTTACAAAATGAATCTTTACATACGGGAGTCAAGCCCGATAAGACTGAGCAGCAAGAAAAGGCAATTGCAAAGTTAGAAAAGGCATTAATGGAACGGCTCAAATCCTATGATTTAGAAGGTTATGCATGTGCATGCATGTGCGTTAGGATGACCATCCCTGTAAAAGAAGATGAAAGAAGAGGATGGTCTATGGTACCTGTTCATAGCCGAGTTGTCGCAAGAGCTCTTCATCTGCGTCAACACCGGGGGTGCCATTTTCAACCTGCTTCTCGGTTGTTTTGCTTTTGCTGTCGAGCAATCCAAATGCCATCGAAGGGAGTCAGTTTTGAAAATGTATGTGTGTAAGAAAAAAGTGTTTCAATCAATCGAACATGACAAAGGGGAAAAAGATGGGTCCTTTTTATGTGAAAACTTTGCAGGTTCATCGGGCCCCACTCTTCGATAGGAAAATCGCATATGCAAGATAAAGCGATCAGACAACGGGTGTGAATGTAAAATGGGATCGTGGGACAAAGATCATGGCTTGCTTGCGAAAAAAGGTCGATGTAGCTTACTTTGTGGTGCGACGTGTAAATGGGATCACAAAAACCCACACCAGTATATTAGACTCCCTTGTACTCCCAAAAATGATGTCTACAATACAAGGCTTGAAGCTATAACGATCGCATATTGATCGAGTTGAATAATAAATCCATCCACTATGCTGGAACCCAGACATGTTTTTTTCGCTATGTAACAAGTAATTCATGCGTGACATGGAGGAGTTGTGAAAATGAAGACACGCTTCGTGATACCCAAAGTATTTGTCAGCCAGGGGCAGTGATTGGCCTGTTCGCCATGGTGTTTGCCTTTCTTTGACAATCGGGCTTTCTAGACTTATCTCATCGCACAAGGGTGCATTGTCTCTTATCGCCTTTTTGAGATATCTTAGGCCATGTGTTATCGCTTTCATATTTTCTGCTGGGAACATCCGGGAGTGGCAATCTTGACTGACAAATCGGTGCATAATACGCCAAACCGAAATTAGGATCAAGCCTTTCCCTATGGCTATGATTCAGCGTCATAGTGCACCAAGCTGCGGGAGCAAGTCATCTCCAATCCTTAACATTATTTGATTTGAGCTTGAAACCAATCACAGTGCAATGTAGCTTGTCGCTTGTGAACACCAGGAACTACCCACTACTATAGGCATACGCTCTTATTCTCACGCGCCCCCGTGCGAATGTATCCGAGATCTCCGAGAGCTGTTTACGCTTATACCATTGGAATGATTTGAAGGGTTATACACACTTTTTCCTGGATTTGATGCTTACACATCCCAAAAAGTCCAACGTGTGGCATGTTGGTTACGTCTTTGCGAGGCACACATTAATGCAAATCACATGCGTAAAACTCCCACAGTTATTAAAACAAGACAATGTCCCATTGGAACGACACAATATGCACACGCATATGACGATGATTTGTCAAACTTGTGTTTGGCAATGACTAAATAGTACATTTTGCTTGGCAACGTGACTCAAAGACTCTTTACCCCACATTTTTACCGGTTCCATGGCAATGGTCTTTTCTTTCTTTGGACAATTATAAATTAAGTTTGCCAGTAGGATTATCCCAAGCTGGTGGGTCAAATGAACTTGTTTATGTGGAACAATGAATAGATACAATGGTGGTGGTGGAAGTAGTAATAGTAGTAGTATTAATGATAAGTAGTAAATGTCATTATTGTCGCCGTCGCTGTATCAATGAAGGATTGGCCTATGATCGTTGTCGGGAGGTAACCAGCCAAACAGCAGCAAGTGGGAGGGCAACCAGCACAAATTTGTTTTGTTTAGCAACGTTTCCAAGCTGACCATGTTGCCACGAACAAGCGCAAGGCTTGGAGCAGCTTTATTGACATCCACAGCAAAACGACGAGTCTCGCAGCCATGTCGCCTTCACTTGACACGCCATTCCTTGCTAGTCGACAATTCACGATCGGCCACGGGATCTCACAATCGCTTTTGCTACTCGACGCTGACAGCGAACGATGAATCGACAACCCTTGAACGTGCCATTGAACAACACAATTTGGCGCAGGCACGAAAGTCGTTTGAGCTCATCAACCGAGGCAACGACAACTTGAGTCGAGAGACGATTCGCAGCTTGTTGCTTATTGCACGCAAGAGTCGTAAGCAATCCGATCTCGTGTTGGTGCAGGACATTGTCAATACCATGGAGACACGGTTTGGTCTTGCTCCTCAGGCGTTCGAGTATCATGCTCTCATGTATGCGTATGGTGTTCATAATCGACCTGAAAAGGCACACAATGTTCTTGAGCAAATGTCGCAGCATGATATCAAAGCCAATACATTCACTTACAACACACTTCTTGGATGCTACAAGCGAGCTGGCGATACTCAAAAGGCGTTGCAGTTATTGGATGAGATGATGGAACGACAAATCCCACGCGATGTTGGCAGCTACAACACATTGATTCATCTTTTGGCTGACACGGATCGAGAGATGGCATATCAACTCTATGACAAAATGCAACACGATGGCGTCATGCCCGACAATTATACCTTTTCCACTATGCTCAACATCGCCACCAAAGCAAACAATACAACTATAGGCGATCGTGTATACGCAGATATCCTCGTCAAAAAGAACGCCAACATCGACTTGTATACACTGAACAACATGTTAGCATACAAGGCAAATGCTGCACAGGATCTTCAAGGTGCTCTCGACCTCTTTTATACTCTTCCAAAAAGCTTGCGCCCTGACGTGGTCACTTACAATCTTTTACTCGACGCATGTCTCAAGCTCGACAAACCAGAACAAGCTTTCAAATTATTCGATGAGATGCACAACAAAGCTGGATGCGCTCCCGATGTGGTCACCTATGGCGCGTTGATGGATGCAGAAGCACGGCTTGGTAATGTGGAAGGAGCACTGAAACGCTTTGATGAAATGATTCAACAATCGATTGCACCCAACGACCGAGTCCTTTCGTCACTCGCCAACCTTGCATCACAAGAAAAAGATTCGACGCAGCTGGATCGGATATTGACGATAGTGGAACAGCATAGCAACAACTCGCCTTTACAATTGGATACGCAAGCATACAATGGGCTGCTAAGTGGACTCGCCAAACAAGGTCGATCTTTGCAGGCACAAAACTTGTACGACAAGGTGTTCCGATACAACACTCAAAAGGCTGATATTGCGACGTATACGAATTTGATGTTGGCGTATATCAATGATGAGCTTGTGGATGATGCTATGGATATTTACTATGAGCTGCGTGAGTTTGTGCATGGATCAGATGCTGGCAAGGAGCGTTTCAACATGGATGCGACATTTTACACCACGCTGATATCGGCCATGACACGGTTGCCAGGACAAGAACTTGATTTGGGAGATCGACCGGCGCCCAATTATGCATACACCATTGATGATACACCGATTCAAGGACTGGATGGACGATCACAACCTATGCTTTTGACAGCACTTGCATTATTCAACGACATGCGACGATCGATGATACGGCCCAATGCACATGTATATACCGCCATATTGCATGCATGTGCAAAGTACAAGGATGCGTATGTGTTGGAGCAGGTGCACAAATTGATTCGCATGGATTTGTACTTTGATCCGGATACAGCAGTCTACAACGCGTTAATGAATGCATACAACCGAGTTGGGGATGGCCATATCGTGCTGCAGATGTGGGAGATGTTGGCTCTTTCCTCAGCCCCTGAAACTGCCATTGATCAAACCACCGTTTCCATCGTCCTCGATAGCTGTGGTCACAATGGATACAACTACCATGCACGTGATATTTGGCATACGCTTAAGCAATCCGGATTCGAGCTCAATACCAACAACTATTGTTCTTATGTGGAATGCCTATGTCGAAGCAAGGGTCGAGATGGCTGGGAGGAAGCGAAAAGGGTGGTGGATGAAGAAATGCGGCCTGCTTACTCCGCCAATTCACTCGTTGACCCACGCCCCCTCGTGGATGACAAGACTGTAAATACTCTGATCAGCTTTGCAAAAAAGAAGGATTTCTCTCAAGATGAAATTGAAGCACTCGAGCTTTGGAAGAATGATATATTGCATCATGATAGACAATAGATAATCCCATCTCCTCCTATCCACCCACATTCGTTAGATTCATCATCATCCCAAACATCATTTCAAAAGTATTAAAAAAAAGAGAGAGAAAAAAAGAGATGGTCCATCGTGTGCTTGATGTTTTGGTTGAAGGAGCTTATCATCATCAAGGTACATACATGTTTGACCCTTGCCCTTCAACAACTCCTATATCACCCTTATAATCCACCCCCTTTGCTTTCTTTCTCTTCCACACAAGTAGACCCTTTTTTTCTTCTTCCATCCCGTTTCCATTCTCATTCACTCTTTCTCTTGGTCTATCTTACTTTTCCTTTTCTTTCCTACTTGAAATCGCCATGGCTCACGTAAGTATCTACGACAATACCTATCGTGGAATGACATTGGATGGTTCGCTCACAAGAATACCAGAGACTTGGTGGACGTAGAAAAAATGTCAAAAAGGGCTTTCAATTTACACTGATGGTTGTTGGTATGTGATGTGTATTGGCTTGTGCATGTGGTGGATGTCTCACGTTGTTGTTGTTGTTGTCCTCCTAATCATTTCTCGTATAGGTGCTTCCGGTACGGGTCGTACGACTTTTGTCAATACATTGTGCAATTCCAGTGTATTAGCAAAGAAGGTTTGTGACAGCCCTGAAGAAGCGCATAATGAAGAAGGAATTACTATCAAGCCGGTATCTGTTGGTAATATCATTAACCTTGAGCTTGAATCATTCCTTTTTTAACGTTAAACTCGATATGTCATTTAGAACTTGACGAAGATGGTGTGAGGTATGTAAACGATGATGAGGGGTGAAGGATGGGATGATAGGCAAAAGAAAACATTTTGCATGAGCAAGTTTATATCCAATCCTCGCATCTCTCACTCACACATACACCCCTGTTGTCTCCTTTTTTCCTTTGCCCCGGTTTTTTCTTATGCAGGATTTCACTCACTATCGTCGATACACCTGGCTTTGGCGACAACATTGATAACGAACGATGGTGAGTTGCTTCAACAACAAGCTGACATGTCATTTGGCTGATTGCAACATGGTAGTTTCCAAGAGATTGTTGGGTACCTAGAACGACAATACGATGACATTCTCGCCGAGGAATCGCGTATCAAGCGTAATCCACGCTTCCGAGATAATCGTGTACATGCTCTCTTGTATTTCATCTCACCGACGGGTCATGCGTAAGTCATTCATGCCGCTTGCTTTTGGTAACACGCGCATTAATTGACGATGATGTTTAAAGTCTCCGTGAGATCGATATTGAGCTCATGCGTCGATTAAGCCCCAGGGTCAATGTAATCCCCGTTGTGGGTCGTGCAGATTCATTGACACCCCAAGAACTTAAGGATTTCAAACGCAGGGTAAAAAAAAGGATTAGAGTGATAGAGAAACCCAACATTGATTTCTATGCTGGTAGATCATGGAGGACATTGAGCATTACAACATTCCCATTTACAACTTCCCTTATGACGTTGAGGAGGATGATGAAGATACCATTGAGGAAAATAGCGAGTTACGTGCATTGCTTCCATTTGCCATTATCGGTAGCGATGAGGAAATCACCATTGATGGTCGCACAGTACGTGGTCGTCAATATCCATGGGGTGCTGTGGAAGGTATGTGCTATAATAAACGTCTATGTATGCAACCTTTATTCACTTTGTTTATAGTGGACAATCCCCAACACTCGGACTTTGCTCGTCTGCGATCGGCATTGTTGAGGTACGTGGCATACATGTAAAAGGGAGGGTTTCACCATACAACTATCCGCGCAATTTACACCATGATATCAATCTTTTCAGTTCTGGTAGCTCTCACCTTCAAGACTTGAAAGAAATCACCCACGACTTTTTATATGAAAACTATCGTACTGAGAAGCTTAGCCGTACGGTCAACAATGGCGAATCAGAGCAAGTGTTGGTGTATACATACAGGGTTTATGATTTCATGTGATAAGAGGATTAATGCATGGTCCATGTTTATAGTGGCGATAGGGATGCCTCGCTCAATGCAGATGACATGGCAAGCCAAACTGTGCGTTTGAAGGAAGAACAATTGCGAAAGGAAGAAGAAAAGGTAATTACCATACTTGGGCTTCTTTCCCATATTACGCATTCCCTCCCCCTTTCCTCCCTTCTACAACACGCATGTACATGACGCGCGCGTGTGGTGGAAGCTGTGTCTCTACGTCTAACGCCTTGTTGCTAATTATCAGCTACGCGACATTGAACTGAAGGTACAACGAGAAATTCAAGAAAAACGTGCCGAGCTCATGAACAAGGAAGAAGCTTTGCGTAATCTTGAATCGAGACTCGCTCAAGCCCAGATTGCGGATGCTTAATTGAATACCATCCTTTGCTTAGAGAGAAGAGAAAATACGTTGTTTTTTTACTGTTGCTTCTGCTGCTTATCAAACCTTCACCATCATCATCGCCCAATCAACCCCTTTCCAATTTGTGTTTTTCTCATTGCTTTTACACAGCTCCACGAACAGAGCTTAATCAACAATACTTTATTTGGCGTATCCTGTGTGCATGTGTAGAATAATGTTGCCATGGAGAGAAGCTATGGAGACGCATGAATATGACCGTAGATGGAAAGCTTGTGATACGTTGTCATACGTCGAGCGAGCAATGATGTCAGGCCTTGATGATCTGCTGAGAAGCGAACCTCCACTTGCATGACCTGCAGAAAAATACCCGCTCGTTCCAGCCCTTATTCCTCTTTACTCTCTCGCTCTCTTTTCTTTTTGCAATGGCAAGTCCTGAATTCAGTAATCCACTTCGAAAGTTTAAGCTTGTCTTTCTAGGCGAGCAAAGCGGTAATGGCTAATTGCACTTGGCGACATTCGATCCCCATTGACTATTCTATGATCCTTCTTTAGTGGGCAAGACATCGCTCATTACTCGCTTCATGTACGACACCTTTGACAATACCTACCAGGTATGATGATTGCATCAAACGCTGGGCTCTACATGATTGACATGTGATCTATCAAGGCTACCATTGGCATTGATTTCCTCTCAAAAACGATGTACTTGGAAGATCGAACAGTACGGCTTCAATTGTGGGATACAGCTGGCCAGGTAATACATGATGGGAATCAAAGACAAAGAAGGAAAAAGGACAAGGAGGAGGTTATGCAAAACAATGCGTCTATGGGTGGTGGTGCTTTGATTGTACAACAAAGGCTCATTCATCTTCTCTTTGTGCTTCCAGGAACGATTTCGTTCATTGATCCCATCCTATATCCGTGATTCGAGTTGTGCTGTTGTGGTGTATGATATTACGAGTAAGTATTGTTTGTTGGTCAAGGCACCATTATGATGATGCATGCAGCTCAACATTGTATTTTGCCACACACTCATGCACGCCCACGCCAGATCGCAATTCGTTTGCAAATACGGAAAAATGGATCGATGATGTACGTGCAGAACGCGGAAATGAGGTGATCATTGTTTTGGTTGGTAACAAGGTCGACTTGAATGAAAAACGGTAAGCACACCTTTTTTGATCCTCTTTGTTTCACTCACAATGGTTTCTTTGCTATTCTCTCCATGTAGGCAAGTGACTCTGGAAGAAGGTGAAAAGAAGGCCAAGGATTACAATGTCATGTTTATTGAGACAAGTGCCAAAGCAGGCCATAATGTAAGGGGTTGTTCTTTTTCAGGGGGCAATGTGCTTTGTTGTGTGGGTGGGTGCATAGAATCGTTTCTTGACATCTCCTTTTTTCTTGTTCTGCTGATAGGTCAAGACGCTGTTTCGGAGGATTGCTCAAGGACTACCCGGCGTTGATGCTCAATCAGAGGAAGGAAGGGATCAAAGTAAGAAAACATCTTGTTGGAGAAGGATGAAATCCCTTTATTGATACGTTGTGTGTGCGTGTGTATAGTGCAAAAGGTCGATCTAACCACCTCTGAGAACAACGATGCAAGTGGATGTGCCTGCTGATCCTTGGTCAATCACACCCAAAACCAGATTTTATCTATACTGCTATAGTTATATGTCATTTATCTTTCGTCATGCTGCGTACACCTATTATTTGTTAACACCGTATCCATAAAACACAACATCCCCAGTCACTTCAGGTTGGCATACATCATACATCATACATCATACCAACGTCAACGTTGTATAAGCTACGTAAGCTTGTTTTCGGAAGCAAGCTAATAGTATTGAGCGCATCTATGATGCTGAAAATGTATTCACACAGCAAGTCATTCATGGAGTACATCAAGTTTTGACAGGATTGCAGTGGTGTTTGGAATGTCATGTGGGACAAAGATGTAGTGCAGCTGCACCACGTGGCCGACACTTTAGACCACCTTTAGCGCATTGGTAAATCCAATCCCAGTTTCATTGACTTGGAGCTGATAATAGAAGGACTATTTTTCCCAACCAATATAATTGACACGTGAATCATCGATATAGCAAAAGGGTGATTTGGGTTAGGTTTTATTGCTAGGTATGTTGTTGAATGCAACGCGGCGATCGGAGGAGTAGAAAAAAGAGAGATAGAGAGAGCGAGAGGAAATTTAAGTGATGACACGTGAATATGGGATGTTCTTGACCATCCAAATGGGGATGAGGATATATGTAATTCAAGAAAGGAAGCCGAAAATGATCTCAAAGGGTGTAGGAGGAAGAGGGAAAAGACGAAGACAGACTTGAGGCATCAACATTTACGAGATGAATGATACTTCACTGGACTACAGAAGTTGGATTTTTATATGTGTTAATTAGGTGGTGGATATTACAGGTGGTTGAGATCTTCAAGGATTTTCTTGCCAATGTCCATGCTCTTCATACGAGTTGCTCTTCTCACCAAGAGACGCTCTGTGCGATATTGCTCGTAATAACGTTCCAAAGTCTCGCTTTGAAGAATACGACGATGGCTTGACAACAATAACGTCTTCAAGGCTACAAAATCGCTGTATTGGTCGCTAAGGCAATCAATCTTGACCCATCCATAATCACGTCCAATCTTGATATCATCGATTTCCACAGGTTCACCAGTCTCGGGGTCATCTTCGTATGCAATCACTGCAAAGGGAATCAATCGCAAATAATCGATAAACGCTTGTGTCTCTTCATCCTCTTCTTCATAGTTGAATTGGCTGAGGAAATCATCGAGCGTGTTGTTCTTGCCCTTTTTGTCGCTTTGACCATTTTCCTTTGCTGTCGCATCCTTTTCTTCCGATGTTGATGTTCCATTCTTGTCTTCTTGTTCATCCTTTTCAGCATTCTTTGCCTCCTCCTCTTCTTCTTCGTCATCATCATCATCATCCTCTGGGAGGCCGTAAAGTGGAATCTTATGAGTCGTATAAACATCATGAATGATGGTTGGCTTAAATCGGCTGCGTTGGGCGGAAGTAAGAGTATCAGCTTTGCCAATCACTGGGATTACATTGACACGTTGCGAAAGTCGAGTAAGGATGCGAATGTCGTATTCATCCAATGCACGCTTAGCAGGATCGAGGACGTATAAACAAGCATGCACCTGTGTGTCTACTGCTTTGGGGTTTCGTTTGACCTTATTTTCCTATTGAGACGAGTAAACATCAACATTCATGTGTATGTGTGAGGCTGTATTATTATTTTTACCTCGGCCAAAGTCAAGTCAAACTGATGCTCAATATAACCGAGAATATCATGCAGCTGTTTATCAATCTTGAAATCTCCTTGGAAACCGGGCGTATCAATAAGCGTCAACATGACTTTTTCGCCATCAACGTCGATACCCACTGACGCAGTATAAGGTGTCGTCGTCTTTTCAAGTGGACCATCAATTTGGTGTCGAGTGCCTTCGGGCATACTACCAAACGACTCACGCTTGTCTTTGGGCATCTCGGCTTTCAGGGCCGCCATGAGAGTCTTGATGAAAGACGTCTTGCCGACACCCGAGAATCCAACGACCATCACGTTGAAATAAGAAATGGCATTGCGTCTCGATCGAGGAGACATGTTGTGGTATAGAGAATAGTAGTGGTAGTGGTAGTATTGGAGCTGGTGATAGTATTGGTGTCAAGTGGTGGACGTTGTTGCTTTCACTCGGGCGAGATATGATTGTTGCAAAGCGAAAGTAAGAAAAAGCTCGTTTCCAAAGAGACGTATACGTGCGTCGAGTAAGCAAAAGAGAACAAAAAGAAGTGATGGGTTGCCCAAACAGGTCAAAACTAGGCAAGTGCGCCGCGTGTTGAAGATATGCTTGTGTAGCGATGAGTATAGTGTGTGCTTCGTTTTCTTTGTTGATACTAAATCAGCCATTGTGCTCCGTGTACCTGGATACGCTTATCTTTACACATGTAGCAAGATCCCAATGTAGCATTTTCTATTAGATTGAAAACAATCAAATCCAATGAATAAAATTCAATGCCACCAAATAATCAATCGCCTCTTGGCGCCTCTTTTCCCTCCTTGGTTGTAAGATCTACTCCCCCTCGAGGAAAATCATTTTCTTGTGACACAAGGATAATAGCTAATTACACCGCAATCGTGGCAAGTTGCCCAAGTTTACTTTTCACATTGCTGTTTCTACCTCTCTAATCCAAACTTCTTCTTGATCATCTATCTCTATGCTGACACTCTTCGCATGTATTCAACCAATGATCGTGTGGGTCGGCCTATAATAATAATATGCATTTTACTTAGTCCTTGCATCCATCACTCACTCGAAGATAAAGGTAGGATCACTTACCGCTCATGCCCTTGATATGATAACCTTGAGTGGCATCGCTGTCCATGACACCGGCAATGTCAATATGTGCCCATGCAAGTGGTTGCTCAGATTCCACACCAGCAACAAACTCCTTGAGGAAAGCAGCCGCTGAGCATGCACCTCCCGATCGACCTTTGCCCAAATTGTTAAGGTCAGCAACTGTAGACTCCTTCATTTCTTTCAAGTACGCATCATGCAAAGGCATACGCCAGAATGGATCCGAAGTCATCTTGCCGGCACTCTCAAGTCGCTGCCACAACAAATCGGAATTGGTGAAAACGCCTGCAAAAGCGTTGCCCAATGCTACATCCATTGCGCCCGTCAAAGTAGCAAGATCAATTAAGCTTTCGGGTGAATACTTGGAGCTGAGATAGTACAATGCATCAGCCTATGTCCCATCCTCCATTAGTATATCAGCGTTTATAAATATAACTTTTTTCTTACCAAGATAAGACGGCCTTCTGCATCGGTATCCATCACTTCAATTGATTTCCCATTCATGGCACGCACCACATCGCCTGGTTTGGTAGCACCACCCGAAGGCATGTTTTCACACAAAGGCATACAGGCAATCACGTTGACGGGTAGCTGAAGTTTGGCAATGGCATACAACGAAGCAGCAACAGTAGCAGCACCGCCCATATCACCCTTCATCAAGGCCATGTTGTTGGATGGTTTGAGCGAGATGCCTCCCCTATTTTTAACATCAGCCCATTAGCCATTCCTGTATAACACAATTTCATGCATTGACAACACTTACGAATCAAAGGTTACACCTTTGCCAACCAATCCATGAGGCTTTTGATCTTCACCAGCACCACGATAATGAATTTCCAAGAATCGAAGAGGCTCCTTGCTAACCATTCAAACACATTATCAGTATACACGGTCCTCCCTTTATCCACTTGATGCAACCCTTACCTTCCCTTAGCAACAGCCAAGAATGAATTCATCTTGTTACGAATAGCCCATTCTTCATCACGGACGATCACTTCAGTGTTTTCAAGACCAGCAAGTAAATAAGCGACTTCTTCAGTGAACAACTTTGGTGTCATAAGGTTGCCAGGCGTAGTCATCAACATGCGTGCGAGATTTTGTGATGTGCCATAAATGTATCCAGTTTCCCAATCACGTTCACTGTTTGATTCTGCAGCAAAAGGGTTGACTTGAATCGGCTTACGACGATCGGCTTCATTCTTGAGCTTGTCGAGGCAAAATTGAGCGAGAACAGCACCTTCAGCAGCACCTTGTGCATTGACGGATACATCCACACCCACATTCTCGACGCCTTGTTTCTGCAATGCTTGAATACCAAGTGCTGACTATAACCTGATCATCAGCCATCATCATCATCATCATCATCATCATCTTCATTTGTTTGGTATGCCCATCCACTTACAGCTTTGCGTGCTTGTTCCAACTGAGTAGCTTCATCCTTGCCTTGCTTGCCGAGTGATACCACAGCCACTTGCTTGACACCACCCACATTGTACAACACACGCACATCGCCCTCCTTTTTGAAACCGGATGCTGCAAGTTGCTCGACTAAGGTTTGACGCGTGCTGGAAGTAATGTCACGAGAAGCTGAAAAGGTAATTTGCTCGGCATCGGTGTAGGATCCCAAGACGAGTGCATCGTAGTTGCTGGCATTGGTGAATAGTCTACGTGGAACAGGTGTAATGCGTACATGGTGGTGGCCAAGTGCATGTCGTGCTGCCAGGCGTCCAAGAAGGAGTCGTGTCATGGTTTTGTTTTGGTTGCTGGTAAAGAAGCGTGCTACAATGCACCACCGCTGCCGTTGTAGAATGAAAATATACTAGATAGCTCAGCTGCCAATGCATTTTACACCCCACATGCATCACCCCTTCATACTCGCTTAATAATAAAAGCTTGTTTAAATCGCTCTAAGCTGCTGCTGAATGACTAGCTCAACTTAATATTGTGCCTTAGATTCAATATTATGAAGTTCATTGGCATCAACCTCCCATCTCCCACCTCGTATTTGTTCATGCTCAAAAGTGTATTGTTTGATTGGGGAAACAAAACGAATTTCCTTTACAAGAAGCACATAAACCATGGATGACTACACTTCCACTTCTGAAATGAACGTATTTATTGTGATCGATCAAATACAGTCATGCCCACCCATCCACCTTTACATTTGCTCATCCATCGCTAGCAGATATAGAAACAACAACAACCAAAGAAACAGAGCCGCGTTTGCATCATCATGATCATCAATCCATCCATCATCAGCCACATGTGAAAAGGACAATCGTTTATATACATTCACCAATACTAGTCGAGGCCATCAGCACCTGGATCCTTTGAAGAAGAACTCGCCGCAAGTGTATCACCAATGGAGCTATCAATACTCGAATAGCTTGCTGAAGGATCGTGCTTGCCATTGGTACATTCAGCGCAAGCGTGTGCTTGTTTGCCATTCTCGTACTCGTCCCCCAACTGCAAGTGCTTTGTAATGAAATCATCCTCAACCTCCTCTTCGACTACATTGGATATGAGGAATGAATATGATTGAAGCTTCCCCAAATGATATGCCGTCCTTCTCCCAATATTTCTTCAGCGATACTGTAAAGTAATTGGATAGTGACGTCGTCCTTGCGATCAATGTGCTCCAGCGACAGCTTTTGTTGAATAAAGAGCCGTGATAGAGCAACCAGTGGTTTGATTTGCTTGCGAAATGTATGGCTGTAATAGGTGGGCAAGGGATTTGAGAAATTTACAAAGCGACATGTTGTCCAAGATTGTGACAGTAGTGCATCCATCGGTAAACAATCCACTGATGTCATTCAAAATGCTCATGACTTTTCCGCCTGGTTTACATTTCCCCATGATATTGGTGATCAAGCTCTTATGAAGCATGGCCTTTTCTCTCTTGTTGATTACTTCACGAGCGATATTGGCAAACACCTGTGATGCCAACTTGCCGTCACATTGTAATGATGAAGTGTCGAAAGTACAGTAGGTAAAGATCGTCTGGGGTTGTAAGCGATGGAAATCACAGTGCGAGCTGCTTGATCGGGGTGGAATGTACGAAGAGTGCTCATTGAATTTTGAGCGTATCTGGCGAAATGGTTGAAGAATATCTGTGTCACTGATGTCGGCTGCATGTTGATTGAAGGCGATTTTAGTGGCATCGATGTAGTTTTCCTCATTGAAAAAGATCTGGATATCACGACCATGCTTGGTATCGATGTCAAATTTACTCGTTGTTGGTCCCAACTCTGCCGCGTGTTTGGTATCGAGTCGAATTGATGAAGTCGCCAAGGCATTGAAAGTCTTGGTGGCAATATTCAGCTTCGTGCCGTCTTCATCCTTCATTGATATCGTCCAAACCCCCTTGTATCGAGAAGTCGTTGGTGGGTTGGTGGTTGCTGCAGGGGCGCCACGTTTGTTCAAACATCGTTCATGGTGTGCATCAACCAAGTTCAAACGACCGTACACCTCAACAGTGTTAATCAATAGAGCATTCGAGGAAATTGGATCAACAAGTATAGCACCACTGAAAACGATGGTGTAGTAGTGTTGTTGAGCCGAAACAAAACGCCAAACCAGCCAACGTTTTGAAACCAAGCTTGCCCTCTATACCAGCTAACACGTCAATGGAACAAGTTTAGCTACAACATTGGACTCTGAATGTACCTGTGGACACCAAGCATAGAGCGGGTACAGCAACGAACAAAAGGAAGCAACGATGTCGTCATGGCCACCACGCTCATTCCTCAGCACTTGGACACACTCACTCCCTGACAATGCATGTTCAGAACTACATTAACACCTCACAGCCAACAAGAGCGCTCTTTTGTAGTACATTACCTTGATCGAGATGTCGTGAATGGGATAAAAGCAGAGGAGGGAGAAAAAGAAGAGAAGCGTTGTCTTGCTGTACCCCAAGTTTAAATCCCCCTACTGCTATTACCCTGAGGCCACTCAATTACCCTACACACACCATCCACCCATCATGATCATCACCCTCATGATATTAGACAATAGGTATACGTAAATAAAAGAAATGATGATCCTCACGTATAGCAAAAGGGTGTGTGCCATTTTACACTTTACATGATAATGATGATCCAACAACAGCCATTACCTTGGTTAGCTCGAATCATGAAAGTTAAAGGATGGGCATGCTGGGCTGGAGCAAGACAATCGTTCGTATGCATTGGATTGGACAACAAAGGTGAATGGGAGGAATGGGCTATTAGCTGGCAGTTTACAAATAACTTTGCAAAATGATTTTTGTGAAGCTTGGATGATGTTTTGTGTTTGAGCGTTTTTCAGTCAAATCCTCTCGAATTAAGAAAGTTGAAGGAGGGGCATACTGGGCTGGAGCAGGACAATCCATCACATGCATTGGATTGAGCAACAAAGGTGAATGGGAGGAAGGGGCTATTAGCTGGCAGTTTACAAATAACTTTGCAATTTGACTCTTCTGATATTGGATGATGTTTCTGTGTTTGAGCGTTTTTCAGTCAAATCGCATCGGATCAAGAAAGTTGGATGATGGGCATGCTGGGCTGGAGCAGGACAATCGTTCGTATGCATTGGATTTGACAACAATGGAGAATGGGAGGACTAAGGTTATAGCTCGCATTTTGAACTATTCCTAAATAGTGTACAAGAATCATGCATCGCCTGTGCTGAATGACTCAAGTTACACAAACGCGCCCTCTGCATATTTTGCTCTATTACAGTCATACTACTTTACATTAAACAAAGACCATCTTTCATATAGCATCACGCTTACAACATAGTAAAAACATAAAGGTGCCTGTATCTCCAAACTTTACAATCAAACGTGGGCTCTTTAATAGATCAACGTGCTTGTCGGGGTCAAAGGAATCTTGTGTCAAAGTATGAAGTTCATCGTGGCCAATCCCAGATTTCGCAATGTCGCTACCAGCCAAACTGGATCCGGGGCTCAACCTCTTTCGAGGACGACCAAAAAAATATTTTTTGGGCTGTTTGCGACATTGAACGTGAAACTTTCACACAAGGTGCTGTTGGCCAAGCCGAGCACATTGCTCTATTTAAAACCCCACGTTTCATTGTAAAGTTTGGAGATACAGGCACGTTTATGTTTGTAAGCGTGATGCTATATGAAGAGTGGTCTTTGTTCATTGTGAAGTAGCTAGACCCTGGAGAGCCAAAGATGCAGAAGGACCTCTTTGGGTAACTCAGCTCAAAAGTCAGGACTTCAGGGACAATGTATGACAGGTACGCAACCCTCATTTTCAGGTCATACATTGGCAGCTAATAGCCACTTTTGTGCATTCCCAACTTTTGTGCATTCTATTGTAGGTGGACGATGCTCCCGCTCTAGGCATTCATTTCCATGATTAAAGTAGGTTGATCCGAGCTGATTTGGTTGAGTTACGCTCCAACAAGATTACATCGGTTGAGCTACATTGAGCGTGCTTTATGTCCAGAGTAATGCAATCTCTCTTTGACCACAGCTCAGTCAAATCAGCTCGGATCAACCTACTTTAATCATGGAAATGAATGTCTAGAGCAGGGGCATCGTTCCCATGCAGTGGATCTCGCAACAATGATGATTGGATAAAAGTGGCCGTTAGCTAGCAATACATGTCTGTTCCTAGATGATCCATAAAGTAATTATACATTGACCCTTTCATTCATGCAAACGTAGCTGTGTTACACAACACAACCCTCTGAATCTTTTGCTCTGTCAGGGTCTAGCTACTTTACATTAAACAAAGACCACTCTTCATATAGCATCACACTTACAAACATAAAGGTGCCTGTATCTCCAAACTTTACAATGAAACGTGGGGTTTTGAATAGAGTGAAAGTTTCACGTTCAATGTCGCAACTAGCCCAAAAAATATTTTTTTGGTCGTCGTCGTCGAAGAGGACGACCCCTGGATCCAGTTTGGCTGGTGGCGACATTGCGAAATCTGGGATTGGCAAGCTTGATCGTGAAACTGGCACCCAAGGTGGAGTTGGCCAAGCCGAGCACATTGCTCTAATAAAAACCCCACGTTTCATTGTAAAGTTCGGAGATACAGGCACCTTTATGTTTGTAAGCGTGATGCTATATGAAAAGTGGTCTTTGTTCATTGCCAAGTAGCTAGACCCTGGAGAGCCAAAGATGCAGAAGGACCTCTTTGGGTAACTCAGCTCAAAAGTCAGGACTTCAGGGACAATGTATGAAAGGTACGCAATCCTCACTTTTATGTCATACATTGGCAGCTAATAGCCACTTTTATCCAATCATCATTGTTGCGAGATCCACTGCATGGGAACAATGCCCCTGCTCTAGACATTCATTTCCATGATTAAAGTAGGTTGATCCGAGCTGATTTGGTTGAGTTACGCTCACACAAGATTATATCGGTTGAGCTACATCGAGCGTGCTTTATGTCCAGAGTGATGTAATCTCTCTTTGACCACAGCTCAGTCAAATCAGCTCGGATCAACCTACTTTAATCATGGAAATGAATGTCTAGAGCAGGGGCATCGTTCCCATGCAGTGGATCTCGCAACAATGATGATTGGATAAAAGCGGCCGTTAGCTAGCAATACATGCCTGTTCCTAGATGATCCATAAAGTAATTATACATTGACCCTTTCATTCATGCAAACGTAGC